TCCGGGAGGATCCCGCATGCCGCGGAGCGGCTGGGCCCGTGAGCCATGGCCGCTGAGCCTGCGCGTCTGGAGCCTGTGTTCCACGGCGGGAGGGGCCCCGGCAGTGAGAGGCCTTCGTACCGCAAAAAAAAAATTTTTTTAATAAAAAAAAAGAAAAAGAAAACCCAGGTGATGTCAGCGTGATGGTTAATTTTAAGTGTTGACTGCCCACAAGGTACCCAGATTACATAATTTCTGGACGTGCCTATGAGGGTTTTCTGGATGAGATTAGCATTTGAATCCGTGGACTCAGTAAAGTAGATGGCCCCCCCCCAGTATGGGTGGTCATCACACAATCCGTTGAGGGCCTAAATAGAACAAAAGGTGGAGGAAGGAGGAATTCACCGTTTTTTTTCCTGCCTGATTGCTTGAGCTGGGACATTGACCTTTTCCTGCGCTCAGCACTCCTGGTTCTAGGGCCTTCAGACCCAGTCTGGAATCTACAACATTGGCTTCCCTGGTTCAGGCCTTGGGACTTGGACTGAATTACACCACCAACTTTGCTGGGTCTCAAGCTTACAGACAGCAGATTGCAGGACTTCTCAGCCTCCATAATTGCATGAGTCAATTTCATATAATACATCTCTTCCTATATACATATATCCTATTGGTTCTGTTTCTCTGGGGAAGCGGACTAATCCAGTGCCAATGGTCCATGGGCCACACTTTAAGAAACAGGACTTAGATGATCTGAAGCAGGCTTGCAGTTCTTTTCAATGCTAGTTTTTTCCAGTTCATCCTAATGTGTGTGTTTTCCACTTGATTTATGCTTCCAGTAATTCTAAAAGTTTACCTGTAGATTCTGATGGGTTTTTCTCACAAAAACAATCATGTAGTCTGAAATAATGACAATTTTATTTTTCTTTTTAAATTCTTATACCCTTTATTTGTCTTTCTAGCCTTATTGCACTGGCTAGGACCTCTGGTATCAAAAACAGTGATCACAGCAGGCATTCATGCCTCATGCCCCATCTCAAGAAGACAGCATTCAGTAATTCACTGTTGTTCTGGTCACTGTAACATTTTGTACATACACTTCATTGGATCAAGAAACTTTTCTTCTATTTCTAGTTTGCTAAGAGGTTATTTTTTTAAAATAATAAATGGGTATTTAAGTTTTATCAAATGCTTTTTTGTATATATCTTTACATTTATACATTGTTGTGGTACTTCTGGTTTTATATTCTGAATTATATTGGTTTATTTTCACGTGTTAAACTAACCTTGAATTCCTGGAATAAACCTAACTTGTCGTAATATATTATCTTTGTATACAATGCTGGATTTGATTTACCAATATTTTGCTTAGGAATTTTATATCTATGTACATGATCAAGATTGGCCTATGATTTTCCATTTAACATTCTTTTCAGTTTTGATATCATATAAAGCCTGTCTCTACAGAGAAACAGAACCAATAGGAGATGGACATATATATACATATATATATATATACACATACATACATACATGTGGATATATATGGATATAAAGATATATATGTACATATATATCCATCTCCTATTGGTTCTATATATACAGCCTATAGATATATAGATGTATATATATCCATATATGTGTGTGCATATATATCTATATATAGATACATATCTCCTATTGGTTCTATTTCTCTTGATGTCATATTTTCACTAATATTTAGTTCAAAATATTTTCTAATTTTTATGTTGATCTCTTCTTTGACTCATGGACTACTTAGAAATTTATTATCCAATTCCAATATTTAGGGATTTCTCATTATCTTTTTGTTATTTAAGCTTAGTTTCATTGTCACTAGAGAATATACTCTGTATTAATTCAATAATTGACGTTTGTTAAATCTTGCTTTTTGCTCCAGCATATGGTCAGTTTTGGTAAATGTCCCATGTACACTTGAATGAGTAATTTGAAGTTACTTGGGACACTCATTAAACTTTCTGCTTGCTCTGTCATTTACTGAGAGAAATGTATCGAAATCTCCACCTCAGATAAGCCATGTGAGATGGAAAGTAAGGTCCTGAGCGCTTGATGAACAAGCGAGAGACTGAGAAGAAGAGCTAGTGTCTACTTTTCATTAGAAATGAACAGAAATTTGGGGGAGCTGTGGGAAACCAGAGAAGATGAGAGGGAGATTCCTAAACTTCATGATGTGGAAGAGACAAAAGATTTGTAAAACAAGGGAATATCTAATTCTACTTGAAGAGGTTTTGAGTTTTTATAACTTAAACCCTTCTGTCTTTCCAAATCTTATGCTACCACTAAAACACATGGTGAGAGTAGTTTTGCTTTACTTGGTTTGTTTTGAGGAACTCAAGGAAAGAACAGAGTCCTCCGTTGGCTTGGCACAGTCAGAAGCGGCCCTTGCCTCTGTGTATGTGCCTCCCCAGAACTTTGGGAAATTCTGAGCACCTGCTGAGTGCCAGGCACCGCTAGGTGCATTAAGTGCATCCTCTCCTTGTACTGCAGCATAATCAAAGTGTTAGAAATGCAAGCACAAGACCATCTATGAACTGAACTATGACAGTAGAAGGAGATCTGTGTGAGGGGTGATCACAAAAATGTCACTTGCCCCTTAACTTCCCACAACTGACAGAAGTTTGGGAGAGGACACTGTCTTCTGGAGGGAGTGGTATGAGGGTTCTGTCCATCTTATCCAGAGCTAAAAGGTAAAGTGACCCCAGTTGTCATCTGGATTACATGACCTTGCAGTATTGTGGTTAGGAGATAATGTTGGTAAAGCACTTGGCTCAATAGAGAGTCAAAGTCAATAGTAACCATTCAAGATGTCTCTGTATCTTTTTGTTTCCCAAACTTGGTGATGAGGAACCAGAGAAAAGGGCAGTGTCTTTTTCACTTAAGTGATACCTCCTATCACCATCACGTGCCCAGTGCCGTACTATGGATATAATAGATGCTAAGTAAATATGTTTGTTGTTGCCAGGTTCCCAGAGTTCCCTAAATGTGAATAGTTTCAAGGGCTGTGTTAGTTATCTACTGATGCAGAGCAAATTACCCAAATACAGATGGTCCCCGACTTACCATGTCTCCACTTAGGATTTTTTGACTTTACAATGATTCAAAAGCAATATGCATTCAGTAGAAACCACACTTGGAATTTTGGATTTTGATCTTTTCCCAAGCTAGTGATATGCAGTACAAATACTCTCTTGTGATGCTGGGCAGGGCAGTAAGCCACAGCTCCCAGTCAACCACACGATCACAGGGTAACCCACACTTACAACCACTCTGTACCCAGATGACCATTCTGTTTTTCACTTTCAGTACAGTATTCCGTAAATTACATGAGATTTTCAGCACTCTTTATAAAATAGGCTTTGTGTTAGATGATTCTGCACAACTGTAGCTAATGTAAGTGTTCTGAGCACCTTTAAGGTAGGCTAGGCTAAGCTATGATGTTTGGTAGGTTAGATGTATTAAACGCATTTTCAACTTACAATATTTTCAATTTACATGGGTTTTTCAGGACATAACTCCATCATAAGTTGAGGAAGATTTGAACACAGATGGCTTAAAACAACAGTTATTATCTGTTAAGGATTTAGGAGCAGCTAAGCCAGGTGGTTGGACTTGGGTCTCTCATGAGTGGCAGTCAAGATGTGAGCTAGGGCTGAAGTACAATCTGAAGCTTGGCTGAGGCTGGAGGTTCTGCATCTAAGGTAGCTCACTCCCGTGGCTGTTGGCAAGAGGCCTCAGTCCCTCCCCACCTTTCCACAGGGCGGCTCATGATGTGGCACCTGGCTTCTCTCAGATCCAAGAGGATGAGACTGAGGCAGAAGAAGCCACAATCTTTCAAAACCCAAGCTTAGAAGTCACATGCCCTCTCTTTCACATTATTCTCTTCATCAAAAGTGAGTCACTAAGTCTAGCCCACACTCAGAAAGAGACCAGTCAGGCCCCACCTCTTTTTTTTTTTTTTGTGGTACGCGGGCCTCTCACTGTTGTGGCCTCTCCCGTTGCGGAGCACAGGCTCTGGAGGCGCAGGCTCAGCAGCCATGGTTCACGGGCCCAGCCACTCTGTGGCATGTGGGATCTTCCCGGACCAGGGCACGAACCTGCGTCCCCTGCATCGGCAGGCGGACTCTCAACCACTGTGCCACCAGGGAAGCCCCAGGCCCCACCTTTTGAAGGAAGTGCCAAATCACTTGTGGACATATTTAAAACCACCACAGTATGACATCGTGTTTTGCAGATGGTGATGTGCTCAACACGTTTTTATTAAATAGATCCCAGGAACCTCCTTAGATTGTGACATAAAACCTTTGGAAATTCTCTTAGAATTTTTGTCTCTGCCCCAAGAGATCAAACAACATTCAGGGCCCTTCTAGCTCGAAGATGTAATGTGTGGCCCCCTGAACAACATTCAAGCCACTATTCCTCGCAGAGATAATGCTTTTGGGCTGAATTCTCCCCATCACCTACCTGCTTGGTTCTAGGGAAGAATTCTCTCTGTGGGACCCCTCTGTGTGCAGAGGTATGTTCCCTGACAACTGATCGCCTGACTGACTGGAGACATCAACAGAGCGTGTCCTGTACAGCCAGGGAGTGATGCAAACCCAGAGAAGAGACACGATGCTTTCATAGCTCAGGGAAGGATGGCAATGGGCGTGCTGCAGCTGCTGAGTCAACAACAGTTATATGTACACATTATTCTTCTAACAATTAGACTTAATCTTGAAACATTTTTTTCCCCTGCTTTGTTCCAAGAGGGATGTAAGGCTGCTTGATTTCTGTAAGTGATCCTTCCAGCTTGTCAAAAAATCCATTTCCTATTTTTAAGCATTAAAAAGGTAAGACATGGGCTTCCCTGGTGGCGTAGTGGTTGAGAGTCTGCCTGCAGATGCAGGGGACACGGGTTCGTGCCCCGGTCCGGGAAGATCCCACATGCCGCGGAGCGGCTGGGCCCGTGAGCCATGGCCGCTGACCCTGCGCGTCCGGAGCCTGTGCTCCGCAATGGGAGAGGCCACAACAGTGAAAGGCCCGCGTACCGCAAAAAAAAAAAAAAAAAAAAAAAGGTAAGACATTTTTGTTATTTTCTCTCTCATAGTAAAACTTTCTTAGGTTACCCCACATTCTATTTTTTATCAAATATTTAAGAAAAACAATTTGGAGAAATGCTTGTATTTAGCAATATATGTTATAAATTGATAGAATTTCCCACTGCATTGTAAAAATACTGTTGCTGCTATTGCAGCTACTGGCTCTGGAGGATTTACCATGCACTATTTTAAGAACTTTGGGTGTCATTCAAACCTTGAAAAAACTTAGGAGTCAGGCACTACTATTTTTCCCATTTTGCAGATGAGATTTGAAGCTTAGAGAGGTTAAGCAACGTGCTCACAGTTGCGCAGCTGTTCACTGGCAAAAAGTGAAGGTCTGAACTGGGCAGCTTTTCCCCAGAGCCTATGCTCTTCATAGCCACGTTGCAGTTACAAAGGGCAAGATCAAATACAGTGACTGAAGCCAATCAAGACTTGGCTATAGCTCTCCTTACGTTTGCTGCCTACACTTTGATACAGTTTTTTCTTGTAGGGAGAGACAAGGAAGAAAAAGAGAATGGATAAATGTCATTTACCCCCCAAACAAAATGACATCTGAGAAGTTTCTATAGCTACTAGCTGGTAAAAGTCGTAGAAATGTCAAATAATACTAACAAGGTATATGACATGTTCTGGGTCTGGTTTCAGGCAGACATTTCCTCTCCTTATCCAGTCATGGGAAGAAAAAAGAGCAACTACTCCAAATCACATGTCTTGCTGCAAACAGATTTCTCAGATAACCTCTCTTTAAAACTAAACAACACCCAACATATTTCAGAGGGTAGAGTATCTGTAATGGAAATAAATAATCCACTCTCCATAGTCTCAATTCTTACTGCACATCAGAATAACCTGAAAAGATTATTTTTTAACCCAAAGCCCATGTATCACCAAGAGGTTCTGATGAATTGGTCTGGGGTGGGACCCAGGCAGAGGGAGTTTTTAAAAGCTCTCCGGGTGGGTCTAAGTGCAGCCAGCACTGAGAATCACAGCAACCCAATGATGCTAACAGGCTTCCTTCCCACTTGTTGGCTCTGTCACTGACCAGCCACATAACCCTGATGAAGTTATGTTCCTCGGCCTAAGCTTCCTTACCTCTAAAATGGGGATAACAAGAGGACTAATCCAATGTGGATTAATCGAGACAACACATGACACATCTAGAACAGGGTCTAGGACACAAAAACACTTTAATATTAGCTATTATGATGGTGATGGTGCCATTGATCTTTTTTGCCTGAGGTTGGGACTTCAACACGTTTCTCTATCCCAGAAAGCAGGGATCGTAACTTCAACCCAAGTAGGATGTCATAATCTTTACCAGGAGCTCCCTTAACATGAATAAACCTCTAGAACCGAATCTAATTTGTAGCTCATTGTGAGGTAATATTTAGGTCCCTAGAGGGGATGGACAATCTCATAGCTGTAGTTCACAACATAAAGGAACTCACTCACCTGGGATTGAAGTGAATTTTCTCGGGAACTTCCCTGGGGTCTGTGACCACTTTCTGGTTGTCTCTAGAATTAATGGGATCATCAGGGATCCTAAATTTGGCCATCTGAATTTCAGAGTCACTCAGCTCAGCATGGGGGATTCTTGCATAACCCAATCTGTGGCAGAACAAATGGTTTGTAAAGATATTATTATCATACAGAAATCTGATGAGATCTAGTGTTATAGATAACACCTTCATTATTAAGCCAATTTCCCATTTCTAACTCTACTCTGTATATCACTAGAATTAACTTGATATATTACTCTAAATATTTATCAAAATATTGCTTTTATGATATAAATGAATAAGGAATATGCACATAGGTTTAATTAACTAAACATACTTGGCAAACGTACTCTACTTTATTACACTAATGAATATTCTGTCTGTACAATCGCCTCTCACACATTTGTTTTGCGTCAATAGCAGGAATACTTCAGAATGACAGGAGCACAGGCCTAAATTCTTTCTTACCTTAAAAAATCCACATACCTCATGCACATTTTCATTCACATTGGAACATCTAAAATAAAAGATTTTTAATGCCTGAAAAACTGCACAATTTTCATGTCTGAAAAAATTGTACATCTTGTTTTTGCTTACATCTTTTGGTTCTCCAGGAAATTCAAAGCATTTTGTAGATGTTATCTATCTGGATAGTTATCGAGAAGCTCACATGGAAAAATGGGAGAATGATGAGCAGCCAAGAATTCATTTTATTTTATTTATACTTTGCCTCTTAAAAAATGTCAGCTTCAGTCATTCACTTATTTAAAACACAAATACATAGCCAGTCCCTATTACATGCAGGCATTGTTCAGGTACTGGGGATAAACAGTGAACAAAACGAAGGTCTTGCCCTCATAGAGCTTTCATCCTAGTTGGGGAGAACAAATTAAATATGTATATATGTATGGTGACCAGTACCCAAGTACTATGGGGGAACAAGCGGAGTACAGAGGACAGGGCATGCTAGGTGGCAGAGGCTGTTATTTTATAGTGGATGGTCAGAGCATAACTCTCTGACAAAGTGACATTTGAGCAAAAAGTTGAATGAAGTGAGAGAGCAAACCATACAGGTATTGGAGGAAGGGCGTTCTAGGGAACGGGAACAGCAAATGCAAAGGTCCTGGGGTAGAATGCGCTTGGCTTTTCTGATGAAAAGCCAATGACTGGAGTGGAGTGCATAGGGGAAACCTGAGTTTGCACGGGGGTGGGGGCAGCAGATGATGCAAAGCCTTCCTGACAGACTTGAGATTTTCTTCTGAGAATGAAATGGTAATCCAAGGAGTTTTGTGCAGAGTTGCAGTGGCTACTGTGTAGAGAACAGACTCCAGGGAAAGGGTCAAAGCAGAGAGAACAGTTAGGAGGCCACTGCAACAATTTAGGTAAAAACAATTTAGGTAAAAGACGATGGGGGCTTGGGCCACAGTGGCAGTAGGAGGAACACTTAAAACCTGTAACTCCATACAAAATAGAGACAGAAACCCAGAGCTGGAACCAGCAGAGGCAGCAAATCTGCCCACCACAGCAGGTAAGAGAAGAGCTATGATGGCATCAGATGTGGGTCTGAGTTGTCTGACAGGTTAATGCATTTGTCTAAGCTCAGGTCCCAAATCTGTGCAGTTCCCTGTAATTCTATGTCACTGCCTCTAGTAAATCTAGGTTATTTATTTCCCAAATCTCTAAGATCAAACTTCTAACTCATTTCATAGACACAGCCTTCAAAAAGTCCTTGACAATAAGGAACCTGACAATCCAAATCTTCTACTAAAACAGGGACTCTCTCCTTGTTGTCCAGTAAATATTTATCAAGTGCCTACTGAGAGCAGGGCATTGAATTAGATGATCAAGGTAAAGTTTATAGAATTGGTTTTGTGGACAGAAACTGAATAACAGTAGTCCTAACTTCATTAATTTTGGTATTTTCAAAATTACCTTCATGTCTGTTACAGACTAAACATCTGTGTTCCCTCCCCCCAAATTCATATGTTGTAGCCCTAACCCCTCTGCCCCAGTGTAGCCATATTTGGAGACAGAGCCTCTAAGAAAGTAATTAAGTTAAATGAGTTCATAAGGGTGGGTCCCTGATCCAATAGGATTAGTGTCCTTAAAGAACAGATATCACAGAGCATGCATGCTCTTTCCCTCTGTCTCCAGAACCATGAGAAAATTAGTTTCTGTTGTTAAAGCCACCCAGTCTACGGTATTTTGTTATGGCAGCCTAAGCAGACTATTATACCATCTCTGACAGTCATAGTTACTATATGTATGTGTGTATATATATATATATCTCCAAATATTTCTAAATATACACATATATTTGCCATCCCACTCTCCTAAGGAGAGACAAAGAAGTCTTGGGCCACAAATGTACAAACAGAGCCCAGTGATCAACTATTATGGACACTGGTACTATAAATACCCCTGTCCCTTGGCAACTAACAATTTTTACATTTTGAATATATACCTTTTTCAGTCTATATCATAAACTGTCTTCTAGAAATTCTAATAACCCCATTAAAGCAACCACTTTAATATGAATTTAAATAGAAGCAGTGTTTTCAATCTGAGATATCATATACTTTACAAAACTAGCATGCTCCCTCCCACCTTAATGTTTTGGGAACACCAAAATAATAGTCAAGCTATCTGTCCTGCAGCCATATGGGCATGTGCTGGGTCTTTAGAGTTTCTGAATTATTAGTGTAACCAGAATGAGCTTAGCATCTCAGGGGCCTCCCTGGCCACCTCAGTAAGCATATGAACCAATGAAATTATCCAGGAACCAGTTTACTAAGTAATATCCAAAGTCCTTCATAAGAGTCCACAAGACCTGCTCCATTCCCTCGCTGCCCATACACTCCCCACTTACCTCCTTTACCTCCATCTCCATATACACACTCCTGCCCCACGAATACCACTTTTCTTCAAAAACATCAGCCCTCCTGCCTTTGGGCTTTTGCACTAGCTGGTCCCTCTACCTGGAAAGGTCTTCTCCCAGACAGCCACTTGGGTCACTCCTTCAAATCTTAGCTCTAATGTCAATTTCTCATTAAGACCTACCCAAGCCCCTATTTACAACTGTATCCCATCTCCATATTCTGGATGTTCCTTATCCTGCTCAAGTTTTCCTCGCTATAGTTATCACCTCCTAAAATAAGACACAATGGAATTATTGACTCCATCATTCCAATCATTGTCTATCTTCCCTCAGCCAGTTGAGGGATGCTTCTCTGAATGTTCACTGCTATACCCCTGGTGGCTGACATACATTATGCTCCATCAATACTTGTTGAATGGCAAATGGGGTAAAGAACAGTAGAACCTAATGGTTTGCTTTCACCAGACTGTGACTCATAAGTGAACAAGGCATATCTCCAAAGGGAGAGAAGTTGACCCTGTGATTCTATATCATCTCCAGAAGGCAACAATTTCTTTCATCAATGCAGATCACAGATCTTAGAACAGAAGATTACCTAAGGGGTGATCAGTTCCACACCAGCTCCCCTCTTCAGGCAGGCAATGCCAAGATGTCTCTGGGTGATGAACTGCTCTGTATGGAGGAGGAAGTAAGGCCCAGAGAGGTCCACCCTAGAAGGCCCCACTGTCCCACAGTTCCCAGCACTGCCCCAAGGAGGGTAGTTGGAGTTCTCAGGTCAAATAGCTCCAAACAGATTCTGTGCTAACGGAATTTCAGGATGAGTTTCAGGGATGGTCGCCAGCATGTTGCATCCACTAAAGAACCCTGTAAGTGGAGGGGCCTGTGAATCCATCACTGTCAACAAGATCTGTCCCTCCTTACCTCTCTCACATCACCTCCCATCTCACTCTACTCCAGCCGTGCTGGCCTCCTCACTGTTATCAAAATATACCAAGCATGCCCTCCTAACACGCTTGCACTTCCTCTTCCCTCTGCCTGAATGCTCTTCTCAGGATGTATGCAGGCGGACTCCCCCTCATTCAGGCTGCTGCCTGAACAGCACCCCATCAGAACAGCGACCCTGCCCACCCTCGGTACTCCCCGTCCTTCTTACCTGGCTTTATTCATCCTTCTTATCACATTTATCACCACCTGGCATAATCTATTCCTTACATGCTTACTTTCTGTCTCTTTCCACTGGAGTGGAAGCTCCATGAGTCAAGGATTTTATTTTGTTCCTGTTATATCCCCAATGCCTAGAACAATGTCAATCATGTAATAGGTATTTAATAAATACTTGCTGAATAAATGATTGATTGATTAGTCGCTTTTTTGATATTAAACTGCTCTTTGCTTTGTTTAAAGCAACACTGCCTTCAAAACAGATTTACACAGTTACGTGTTTGAATTCTGAGATCTTTCAGCTATAGTATTTTTGAATTTTTACATATATATGGATAATATTAATTTTTTGATATGGGGTGATATTTTTTTAAAATATAATGTACATTGAGAGCTCATCACAATATAGTAGTGGCTCCAAAAAGGCAGTTACCTTACCCAAGATTACATGATTAGAAGCTGGCAAAGCTGGAATTCAAGCCCATGGTCCATGCTGTTTCCACAATGGCATACAGTCAAAAATGGTACCATTCCTGGGCTTCCCTGGTGGCGCAGTGGTTGGGAGTCCGCCTGCCAATGCAGGGGACACGGGTTTGTGCCCCGGTCCGGGAAGATCCCACATGCCGCGGAGCGGCTGGGCCCGTGAGGCGTGGCCGCTGAGCCTGCGCGTCCGGAGCCTGTGCTCCGCAACGGGAGAGACCACAGCAGTGAGAGGCCCGCGTACCGCAAAAAAAAAAAAATATGGTGCCATTGCTAACATGTACTGACAGTTACATAATGATCAGGCTTAATAACTCACACAGTATCTTCTTTGTATAATTAAACTTAATTTGCTTAACCATTTACTCCTTCTTAACTCATTAGGCTATACATTGAAAAAAAAATGTTAAACTGGGTAACTAGTCAAATCAATGTCTATGAAAAGTAACACAATTAACTAATTGCTTCCAGAAAGTTTTTCCTTCCAGGATAGACCCAAAAGATCACAATAACAGTAGATTAAGAAAAACAACAATCCAAAAAAAAAAGAAAAAGAAAAAAAAACAAAAAACACCTATGCTTACTTGATCAGCCCTCGATACATAATATATTCACACCATCTGTCTTGATCTGTGCTGTCAATATCCTAATAATGAAGAGAGAAGAGAATGTTTAAAGCATTCAAAACGGTGCTGTATTCTGAATTGCCAAGAAAATGCGTGAGCTACAGTAATAAATATGCCTTTCTTTTGTGCATGCTATTTTCTCTGCCTAATTCCTACTGATTTTTTAAGGTCAAAATCATTTATTCATTCTATAGATATTTTTGGAGCACCTACCATATGCCCATCTAGCCCCAGTATGAGATGCTGGGAGTAAAACATGAAGGTGATCTAGAGAGAGAGTTAGGCAGCAATCACAACACGGTACTGGCTCTGCACAGTTTTCCAAGTCTCTCATCCCAAGCAGAACTGACTGCATGCTCATCGGTCATCCTGTGTAGTCCTTTATGCGCACCAGCTACACCACTCTGTATAGTTAATTGTTTAGATGTCTCCACTCTCCCCTTCCTGAGCAGAAAGACTCAATCACCTAGGCTCCCTGGTTCCCAGCATGAAGGCTGGCATTTGTCAGGAGCTCAGTCTGTTTGTTAAATTGAGTCACTGGCAACACACGTTTCAGAAGTAATCATGAGTCTATTTGACGTTGAAAGCTTGAGACTAGCGTTACTTTTCATCAGAAAATCAGAACATAAACATTTTTTTTCTATAATGTGTTGGCAAAATTCTAAATATGGAGCTTTTATACTAAAGAAATATTCATGTTCTTCTTTTAAAAAATATACCTGACTTTTGACTATGTTGACTAAATTTGACTATTAAAATTTAATTTAAAAAATATTTTTAGGGCTTCCCTGGTGGCGCAGTGGTTGAGAGTCCACCTGCCGATGCAGGGGACACGAGTTTGTGCCCCGGGAGGATCCCACACGCCGCGGAGTGGCTGGGCCCATGAGCCATGGCCGCTGAGCCTGCACATCCGGAGCCTGTGCTCTGCAACAGGAGAGGCCACAACAGTGAGAGGCCCACGTACCACAAAAAAAAAAAAAGAATCCACTGCAAATCTTTTTTTTTTTAACATCTTTATTGGAGTAAAATTGCTTTACAATGGTGTGCTACTTTCTGCTTTATAACCAAGTGAATCAGCTGTACATATACATATATCCTCATATCTCCTCCCTCTTGCATCTCCCTCCCACCCTCCCTATCCCACCCCTCCAGGTGGTCACAAAGCACCGAGCTGATCTCCCTGTGCTATGTGGCTGCTTCCCACTAGCTACCTATTTTACATTTGGTAGTATGTATAAGTCCATGCCACTCTCTCACTTCGTCCCAGCTTATCCTTCCCCCTCCCCATGTCCTCAAGTCCATTCTCTACAACTGCGTCTTTATTCCTGTCCTGCCCCTAGGTTCTTCAGAACCTTTTTTTTTTTTTTTAGATTCCATATATATGTGTTAGCATACGGTATTTGTTTTTCTCTTTCTGACTTACTTCACTCTGTATGACAGACTCTAGGTCCATCCACCTCACTACAAGTAAATCAATTTCCTTTCTTTTTATGGCTGAGTAATATTCCATTGTATATATGTGCCACATCTTCTTTATCCATTCATCTGTCGATGGACACTCAGGTTGCTTCCATGTCCTGGCTATTGTGAAGAGAGCTGCAATGAACATTTTGGTACATGACTCTTTTTGAATTATGGTTTTCTCAGGGTATATGCCCAGTAGTGGGATTGCTGGGTCGTATGGTAGTTCTATTTTTAGTTTTTTAAGGAACCTTCATACTGTTCCCCATAGTGGCTGTATCCATTTACATTCCCACCAATGGTACAACAGGGTTCCCTTTTCTCCACACTCCCTCCAGCATTTATTGTTTGTAGGTTTTTTGATGATGGCCATTCTGACTGGTGTGAGGTGATATCTCATTGTACTTCTGATTTGCATTTCTCTAATGATTCGTGATGTTGAGCATCTTTTCATGTGTTTGTTGGAGGAATGTCTATTTAGGTCTTCTGCCCATTTTTGGACTGGGCTGTTTTTTTTGATATTGAGCTGCATGAGCTGCTTGTAAATTTTGGAGATTAATCCTTTGTCAGTTGCTTCATTTGCAAATATTTTCTCCCATTCTGAGGGTTGTCTTTTGGTCTTGTTTATGGTTTCCTTTGCTGTGCAAAAGCTTTTAAGTTTCATTAGGTCCCATTTGTTTATTTTTATCTCCATTTCTCTAGGAGGTGGGTCAAAAAGGATCTTGCTGTGATTTATGTCATAGAGTCTTCTGCCTATGTTTTCCTCTAAGAGTTTTACAGTGTCTGTCCACTGCCAATCTTGACACAACTTTTGACTGTGACAGTGGAACCCAACAGAGTATTAAATAAAAATCAAATAAAATTCCTCTTACACACACACACACACACACAAATTCTCTCTTATTAGGATACAATCAATTTTTTCTTAAATTTGCCAAATATCATCTTGTATAGTAGTCTTCTATACTTTATAGACCATATACTTACACATTTATCTAATGTGATTTGATACATACAGCCAGACATACATAATACAAACATGTAGCTACCACCTATTAAGTGCCTCCTACATGCAAGGCTTAGGGCTTTTCAGGCATTACTTTATTTTCATCCTCACAACAACCCTATGATACAATAGGTATTACTATCCCCTCTTTATAGATGTGGACATTGAGGCCCAGAAAGGTTAAATAACTTGCCTCAAGGTCACAAAGCTGGTAAATGTGGCACCAGGTAGGCTAGTGATGAGAGACTACATGGAGAGAGAGGTCCAGCCAACAACCAGCACCGAGGCCCCAGACCAGTGAGTGGGGGACATGTCAGACCTCCCCAGCCACAGCCACCAGCTGACTCCACGAATGAACGCAGGCAAGAACAGAAAACCACTCGGTAGACCCCCACAGTCATGAGGATATTGGACCATTGTTCTTTTTAAGCCACTAAGGTTTGTAGCTTACACAGTGATGCACTAATAAATAACTAATGCAACCCCTGTGATTCCACTCTCCAGATTTTCCTCTTACTCTTCTGACTTCTCCTTAATCTCTCTTCTGAGATAATCTCCCTCCTCTTCCCTCACCCATCACCCCCATGATAGCCACACTAAATGTGACTCTATCAGGAGTTTTCTTTGGTCTTCCTCTTGCAATCTCTAACTCCATAAGCAATATCATTCCCTTCCATGGTTTTAATGATCACCTAGATGGTGGCAACCTCTTAATCTGTATCTCTAGTCCTGACAGCCCTTCTCAGTTCCAGATCCATATGTCCAGCTGCCTAATGGACAGCTCCACTAGTATCCCACAGATGCCTCAACTCAGCCTAAAGCTGAACTCATCTTCTTTGCAAAACTCTTCTTCCTTATGTATTCTCTATAATAATAAGGGTCACCATCATAAACCCTCTGACCAAAGCCAAAATTAGGAGTCCATCTTGACCCCACTTCTGCCTTATCCACCAGGGCAGAGATTAACTCATCTCCCTAATATCTGCCTTGCCCCTCTTCCAAAGTTGTAGGATTTTTAGCTAGGTATAAGGGTATCAAGATTAAATATTGCATGTCTCAACTTCCCGTACAGTGAGATATGGCCAATGACTAAATTCTAGTCAATGAAATGTAGGTAGAAGAGGTCAGTTTCCTGGAATTTGCCTTAGAGATAAGTTGCACATGCTCTTGGGCCCCTCTGTATCCCTTCCTCCCTCTTGCTAACTAGAACAAGGATGCTGCCATCTTGGACCATGAGGCAAACTTGGGAGTGGAAGCCTTGTAATGTGGAGCCACAAGATAGAAGGAGCACACTCCTGACACCACAAGGTGCCGTACTAGTGGTGAATCACCTGCCCAGACTTTTACATAAAGAGCTATACTTCTCTTATTTAAGCCACTGTCGTTTTGTGTTTTCTGTCACATACAGAATACCTTCATCGTACAACGTTCTCTCTCACCTGTCTTTCCAAGCACTTGATAAAATGGTTAAGATTTTTTGTTTGCAGATATTATCTCAAGACAATGAAGTAAAAAAAAAAAGACATGTAAAGGACCAAGAAATCTACATAGGGCTTAACTAAATATAATAATTGTATTTCTCATTATAAACGAATGCATTTAACCTTCTAGTGTATATATGTCTCAAGGATTTGATTTGTCTGTCAGTTTCCCAGAGTATGATTATATCTGGATACACTGAGAAATTCAACCGTTTTGGACCTGGACAGGTAAGGACAAATTCAGTGTCGTTTAGTGAGGCCCTGATCAGCCAGCCTCTCTGTATGCCATTTTATCTTTTACTCTCATCATGATTAACTTGTACAATGTGGCAGATTGTATTTTCTAAACACGGCTACAATAATCCACTTTCCATATGGCATTCTTATAATGTGACTTTGATACTCCTCTCATCAAGAGATGGGGTTTATGTTTCTTCCACTTGAATGTGAGCAGGCTTGTGATGACAGCAGAAATCATGTTATATGACTTACAAGGCTAGGTCATACAAGGCAATACAACTTTTTCCTGGTTCTCTTAGGACACTCACCCTTAGAACCCAGCCATCACGCAGGAAAGAAGGCTAAGCAGCCCACGGAGAGGAAGCAGGACCCTGAGCCCGAAGCCCCAGCTGAGCTCCTAGTCAACAGCCCCACCAACCTGCCACTTATGTGTCATCTGCAAAGTGGCTCCTCCGGTCCCCAGGTGAGCCGCCTAGCTGTGTGGAGCAGAGATGAGCTATCCCCACGAAGTCCTGTCCAAATTGCAGATTTATGAGCAAAGAGATGAATGCTACTTAAAGCCAGTATGTTTTTTGGTAGTTTTCCATGCAGCAGTAGATAATCAGGATACATATTACAATGTTGGGTTAGGTTTTTCAAAACATGAAGAAGAAACATTTTATTTAAGAAATCAGAAATCCTATTAAGATTGTGTTACCTTCACATTGCCACGTTCAATGAGCTGTAGATAATCTCTGGAACCAGGTGCTGAAGTGATATATCCCAGAAATATCACTTGCTCAGAGCTATTTTTCAGTAGTTTTGAAACAGCAATAGCTTGAAGTTTCCTATCGAGGTCATCTCTGAAAAAATGCAAAAATATACCTCTTTACTGTATTTGCAAAACAATTTTTAAAAAATATTAGGAAAAAAAAAAAAAAAAAAAAAATATTAGGTACCTAACTAAGTTCCCAAAGAATATCTTCAAACACTGCACAAACCCAGAATAATTCCTACTGGGACACACTGACTTAATGTTATGCAAATGAGCAAGACAGCTATAGTGCTTCAACTGAGCAGGCTGACAGACTTGACCAAGAACAACATGACCTTTCCCCACAAATCATTTGGAGTCCAGTGGATAGAAATATCTAAAAACAGCAATTGCTCAACTTTTCATCAGAAGAAATTATAACAATAATCTAAGACCTGGTCATCAGTATTACAGCTAAAGATTAGTAGTTCAAAAAAAAAAAAAAAAGCAAGGAGTACCGGTAAGAGGGAGAATCCTAACATTCACAGAACACACCAGGTTTGTTAACCTACTCAGCTCCTTCAACTAAACAGTTTCTGAAAGCCTCCCTGCCTCTCCTGGTCAAATACTGGCTAAGTGTGCTGCTTTTATCATGTTAAGCACTATAAGTGTGTAACTGAGACAATCAGGCAGGTACATCAAGGCTCTGAGGGGTTTATAGTCAGTCTGTCTGGGGAAAAATAGGGACATCATATCTGCATGACCCAGCAAGAAAAACTGAAACCACTCTAGGTGTTTCAAACAAAGTGAATTTAATTCAAGGGATTGGCTACTAGGTGATAGGAAGCCAAACAGGAATCAGTGAAGCAACTAGAGTTTAGTAGCAGTGAGAAAACTCTACCACCTCTAGGGCTAGAGGGACAACAGGAAGAGGTGATATTCCCAGAGTCCACAAGCCAGTCCTAACTGGTGGGAAATGGTACTATGGAGGAAGCTACTCAGAAGGATCCAGGGCCATTGAAGGAGGAGTTGGAGCCACAGAAGAGACTTAGCTGCTGCCAGAGACAACAGAGAAGGAAGAGAGAGCGAATGAGAAGTACTCTGTCTCCTCCCCTCCTCCAGCCCTCCAGCCTTGCATTAGTGCGTCCCATTGGCTAAACCTACCCAGAAGCCAGAAGACAACAGACTCTGGGAAATGTGGTTTCCTGCAATCTGTAGCTGGAAGGGAGCTGAACCGGGAATGGATCCAAAGGCAAATAGGCAGCAGACCAACACAGGCACTTACGGAGTAAGACAGCTAATAAATGACTGTTAAGAAAAATCAATGACAAAAGAAGATAGAGGGAGATCACCAAGAGCTGAGAAGACTGGAGAAACCTCATTGAGGTAGGATCAGAAGACAGGACTAAGCTTGTCCATTCTTACGTATAGACATCTGAGTGCTATTAAAAGATGTCTCAAGAAACAGAAGAGTGAAAAGGATGACCATCTGCTAAACATCTTTGCCTAGATCCATTCCCAGCCCTTCTCTATGCCATGGAGGCTGGTCTCCGCAGATTTCATCTCCTGGGCTTCCTTGTCTACTAATTTCCAGTGAGGTTTGGGTAGGAAGAGAGAGAAATTGGAGTATTTCTTCGAGCTGCATTCCTCATGCCTGGTGGCCCCTCTTCTGGTTCCAGATCAAACGGGGCTCTGGGAACACTGTTTCCTCTACCTGTCCCTTCAGCCCTAAGGATGGTACTGGTTCCCCACCATTACTAGTGTCTGAGTACCTCAGCATCTCTTATCTGTTCCTCTGACCCTTCCAACATCGTGGTAAGTAGTCCCTTCATTAAGTCTGCAGTGAATTCTATTCCTTCTGACACACAACTGGGATTCAAATCCAATCTAGAGAATGTCAAAGTCACTGCACCACAGATAGAGCTTTCATTCAAATAGGTTTTAGCAATATATTATTGGAAAATAATCTGTGAATTTGGCTTTACATTTTCTCAGGAGATAAATTTTATCCAGTGATAATAATAAAAATAAAACCTATATGTATGTATGGGTATAAAGAAAGGAGGGGGAGGAATTAGGAGACAGGGAGAAAGAGAGAGATTGAACACGTTTTATGTTCTTATCTGTTGATATTTGATCAGCCCAATAGCCCTATGATGTGGGTTAGAAAAAATAATTTTATCTGATTTTCAGAGACAAGGGAACTGGAGCTCACTGAGTTTATCTTACAACGGAACCAAAACTGTAACTACAGACTACAGGTTCTGTGCTCTTTCTTTTTTGTACATTTATGCATGTTTTAAGAAACAAACACTGTAATTAACTGGTGGCTCAGTTAATTACCTAAAATAATACCAATTTTAGTTACAGTGTATACCTAAGTAACTTCTAAGGAATGCTGCTATTTTCTGTTTATTGGTTGTAAAGAGATATTTGTGTCGTCAGTAATTTTAGAAATCCCGTTGAATCAGCTAATAACATGCATAAGCATTCATTCCTAATATGATTTTATGTTTATATGCCATAATCACTAGAAAATGAAATCACTAAATATTTTTTCAGAGTAAGAATTTTTTATCTAGTATTATAAAAACAAAGGCAAGCAAAAATACGTAGTGACGGCTTCACAAGTTATTTGAAGCATGAACTTTCTCATGTCACTTGTTGGGAGTAGACAGGGCTTCTAAAGAGTGAGACAAGAGCTAAGGCTCTAAGGGAAAAGGCTGCACCTGGCATTGTGCTTGGGACACAATAGATGCTTGATTCGTGTTTGATGAATGACTTTTTTTTAAAGCTACTCAATGCGCTTCACACTTAGAGGTGTCTGATTTGCTTTAATAATAATGGCCAGTATTAATTGAGCAGTTACACATACTTTGCATGAGATAATATATCTTATTTAATTCCCTCAAGAATCCTTTAAGTAGGATTATCGCTCCTGATTTGCAGATGGGAAAACTGAGGCTCAAGATAGTTAAATAATTTGGTGAAGGATACACCTTGACTTAGGATTCAAACCAGATTGTCTGATTCCAGGTTCTGGAGTTTCACGCGCTTAGCCATTAAACTATACTGCTTCCCTTCTCTTCCCTTACAGTCACATCTCCTCGACAGGTGCTAGCTATTATCATTACTGTTGCGGTTGTCATCATTATTATTAAATCAAGTGAGGAAGGTAGTAAGCAAAGGGTATGTTGTTAGCTACAGGGCTTTAAATATGTGGTTAATAGAAAGTTAGGAAAGGTAATCCTTCCTTCCTCTTTTCCAAACAATTTGAGGGCTATCTTTTAGTCTTCTCTTCCCTCACAAGTCTCTTCTTCACATTTTAGAGGTCAGAGGGAGTTAAAGGGGGCAGGGGAAAAAAAGCAAAGGAAAACAGGATGGAGTATACTCAACTGTTTCTTAGGTTAAGACCTTGCAACCTTTAAACACAAAAGTGCCTATTTTTTAAAAGATAAACCCAATTCAAGTGCAATTTAAGCTCAGCAGAATGATTTCTGAATGTCTATACTTGCAACCTGAAAATTGCTGGGAGAAACAGAAAGCGTTTCTTCAAACATCTTTTTAACAGAGGTGTGGACTGTCTATACCATCCGTCCTCCAAACACCCTTCCCACTTCTAAGAAGACCAGCAAGAGTCTGATTAGCAAACAGTTCACATTAATTACATTTGAATGGTTGGGTTATATTCCTTATGCTCTGACTTATTTCAGAAAACAGTCAAGTACGCTTTCACAGATCCATGTAATACTGCGAGAAAAAGGGAATAGGAAAATATGGGTAGCAGACATACTCATTTTGCTTATGTGAAACTTACAGTACAACAATGTTGGGTTCTGTCATACTGTAAGTTTCACCTAAACAAAACGAATATGTCTGCTACCCGTATTTTGTTTGTTGTTCTTCTAATGTTCTGTATGTCACTGTAAAGCTCTGTGGCCTCTTGTATCATTAATGTGGACAGGGCCCATATGCTGTATTTTATAACGCTAAGCACTTTGCATTTGTGTTTTCAATTACTATTAGAGAATGTTTAGTATGGTAGAGTATAAATTATATACTTTTAGCTTTGCTTTAACAACATATTGCTGGCATTATTCGTGATTTATTCAGTACTAAGTCACTGGTTGTGAATGTTATTCTTTGGGGATAAAATTCATTCCCCATTCTTCATGTCTCCTTGGAGGGGAACCGACTCAGAAAATCATCTCTGGCCTCTCTCCCTCTCACCCTTTACTTCTTGGGAGGATTTTTGTAATTAATTAAGTTTGTAAGAATAAACTGGGCATGCTTGTCTCAAACACTTCCTCATTCTTCTCCCGGGAACCTGCCGGTTTGCAGAAAGGGTGTTTCCTTGTGTTATCTTCTCCACTAAGGGGAGAGTTTGACAGGGCAGACTCTGCCCCTGCCAGGTAGGCCAGCTGCTTTGGGGGAGCCAGCATCATGTATTGTTGGGGGAATGTATTAGCAGGTCCATGTGGACACACTTAAGCCATGTTGTCCAAATACGTTTATCAGAATCAAAAGAGATATTTTGATCTTCCTGCCAGATTCCTCTGCCTACCTCTCAGTTGATTGAAAACATGAGGGAAAAAGAAATGTTATTTAGTACTCTCAAATCCCAGCAGTACTTGCAACTGGAGTAATCCTGTAGGAAAAGGGAATTTCATCTTTCCATAGTCTGGTTTACCATATGGTTTCAAGCACTTGCAGGCTCTGAGTTGGGTCTACTTCATTCCTAGCTGTGTGACCCAGGTTGGACAAGTCTTCTAACCTTCAGTCTAGTTTATTTATCTGTAAAATGGAGCTATAATAGTACTAACGTTATACAAAATGAAGATTAAATACAATAATGCAGTTAGCACAGCACCTGCTCAGTAACTGCTGGCTAACATGGCCATGATGCTGCCTTGTGCCATCGTTAAGGACTGCCTGCATCTCAAAGGTTTCTATGCCTGATTTTTTTTTCCTTTTTCTTTTTCTTTTTTTTGGGGGGCCATGCCACACAGCTTGTGGGATCTCAGTTCCTGGACCAGGGATTGAACCCGGGCCCCGGCAGTTAAAGCCCAGAGTTCTAACCAGTAGGCCACCAGGGAACTCCCTCTATGCCTGATTTTTAAAACCAGCAACACAGAGAAAAATACTTTGAAAAAAAAAAAAGAAGAAAGTAAGAAAGGTCAAGGCACGGAAGTCAAAGTAATGTGTTAATAATATTTCTTGGCATTTGTGTAGTTCGAGAAAGACCAAAGAAACCCACTCGTGATTCCCAAAGTGGGTCACAACAAAATCCACCAGTTTGTCAGAAATGTTAACAGTCAGAGTGATGGCTGGTGCAATCTCGCCCTCTGGTGACGGAAGAAGGTGATGCTCTGATTTCACAATGCGGTATCTTGACAAAACCATAATCCTGTATTCCAATGGAAAGAAACACGTGCGTCACTATTGGTCCCACCATATCATGCAAACGGGACTAAGAATATGTGTTCAAGAGGGATGTGCACACTTCAAGCATCCCACTGAGGGGCACTGAGAGCACTAATGTGGCGGAGAGGTATGGGGCAGTCTGCCAGACTGTTCATTGCATCTGGGCTATTCAGCACGTCCCACTGTGTCACCAAGAACAACACTATCAACTCTGTTTAATAAGTGCTATGGAGGGCTTCCCTGGTGGCGCAGTGGTTGAGGGTCTGCCTGCCAATGCAGGGGACATGGGTTCGAGCCCTGGTCTGGGAGGATCCCACATGCCGCGGAGCAACTGGGCCCGTGAGCCACAATTACTGAGCCTGCACGTCTGGAGCCTGTGCTCCGCAACAAGAGAGGCCGTGATAGTGAGAGGACCACGCACCGCGATGAAGAGCGGCCCCCGCTTGCCTCAACTAGAGAAAGCCCTCGCACAGAAATGAAGACCCAGCACAGCAAAAATAAATAAATTAATTAATAAAAAAATAATAAGTGCTATGGAAACACGAAAAGGGCAGAATTAGGATACACAAACTCCATTTTACTAGCACTGTTACTCTGGCAACTTATCTGCATAAACAATTCTAATATTAATCAACGCATTTGAGAATGTATGACCTTGCCAGCCAGGACACAGTGCAACAATTTACAAAATTAGAAATTACAAATGGTCCGATAAAGATAGGAAAACCCGTTCCGCCTCACTCTAAGTCAAAGAACTACATATGGAAAGGATGATCAGAGCTCAGACCTCAGGCTGGGCGCACTGTTTGGCCTCCTCCCGAAGCTCCTCTGACAGAACCATGCCCACAGTGATGATCCCTGAATGCACAGGCCCAGCCTGTGCTGTCCCACTCGGCCCTCCAGGCTGCACACAAGCACCTATGGATGTCACTTGACCGTCCAGGGGCATCTTCAGTTTAGCACAATCCTGATGCTCACCTGGTCATTCCTGTCCCATTAAAGGGCATCATCTCCTATCAGGGACTCAGGTAAAACACGCTGGTGCTATCCTTGTCACTTCCAGCCCCGATACCTAAACCATCAGGAAGTCCTGTCAGCCCTGCTCCAAGATAGCTCCTGAGTTTGACCCCTTCTCTCCATCTCCACGCCTCCCACTGTCATTTCTCACCTGTGCTAATGCCTCTACCTCATCACCTGTCTCCCTGCTCCCACTCCTGCCCCTGACAATCTGTTTTTCTAGGAACAGCCGGAATGATCTTTCAAAAATGTAAATCAGATCAGATTGCTCCCGTGTTTACAATCCTCCAGTGGTTTCCTATCAAAACTGAATTAAAGGGCTTCCGTGGTGGCGCGGTGGTTAAGAATCCGCCTGCCAATGCAGGGGACGTGGGTTCGAGCCCTGGTCCGGGAAGATCCCATGTGCCGTGGAGCAACTAAGCCGGTGCGCCACAACTACTGAAGCCCGCGTGCCTAGAGCCCGTGCTCTGCAGCAAGAGAAGCCACTGCGATGAGAAGCCCACGCACCACAACGAAGAGTAGCCCCAGCTCACCCCAACTAGAGAAAAGCCCGTGTGCAGCAACAAGGACCCGACACAGCCATAAATAAATAAAATTAAATAAATAAATGTATTTTTTAAAAAAACTGAATTAAATCACTGCTAGGCATGGCTTATGGGACCCTGTAAGATCAGGGGCCCACCTTTGACCTCCTTTCTTACTAGTTCCCCCTCAAACCCTGTGCTCCGGCACACCAAGACTGACCTGGCCTCAAGTCTTTACACTGGCTCCTCCCACAGTGGGTCCTGGGTCCTCTCCATCATGAGGTCGGCAGAGAGACCTTCCTGACCACGCTACCTACAGCAGCATCCCCTGCTGCCCTGCCCACCCAGCCGCTCTCCTTTTCTACACAGCATTTACCATTGTCTTAAATTATTTATTTCTGTGTGTCCATGATTAGTTTCCGTCTCTTCACACTATAATGTAACTCCATGAGGACAGCGTCCAGGACAGACACGTTTAGTGCTCAGCTCCTACACTAAATGGTTTATAAGAGTGAAGAATTGAAAGTATCCAGCAAAAGGGAAGCCATTAAAACAGGATGGAATATGCATATCTTCAGCACCTCTGGGACATATTCATAGGACTAAGGTATCACAATATCAACTTTCCACTCCAAGCCCACGCTGCCTAGTCTTTCAGGGATATGTTTGGGATTAATTCCGAAGGGACACTCACCCCCAAGTGTGATCCCTTGCGCTTGGACCAAAGTCGGTTTAGAAACCCAGCTTCTCCCCTAACCACATGGTCAGGTCATTGTTCCCAATATAGAGCTTAGAAGCATCGCTCTCCAAAATTGTTATGAGATCTGCACCTGTTCAGAAAAAAAAAATGCACATGGTGATTAACCATAGCAATGTAAAAACAATTAGCAAAACTTGATTCTTTAATCCCCTGCCTTTACTCGTAAATCAAAAACCAGAGTAATTCCTAATGAGTTACTAAAGTGAACTGTTTCAAATCTGAGCTGTAAAATTTTTTTTACCATATTTTGAATGTAATTAAAACATGGGACGCCTTGAGGAAAAGTAGGAAAGGATAAAAACATAACTTTTCTAAATTTTCAAATATTAACATCATTCCCCAAATTTCAAATAAGCTTAATACCTTTTTCAAATATCCAATTTATGTTCACAAACAATAGAGTATACAGTAGTGTTTTATTCCTGGGCAAACACCTCCATCGTATTGACACAGAAGTCAGTTTATTCAGATACCCTGGTCAGATGTGCCCCAGAGGCCTGTAATCAGGACTAAAGGACTAAGGGCCAGAGAAATTTCTTAATGGCAGTAGAATCATACAGACCCTCAGCTATTTCTCAGGAGACATGCTTATCATTAGGAATAACTAGAACAGTTTAGCCCTTTAAGTCTCTTGCTCCATTCTCCATGTAGTTGATCTAAGAACAAAACACCCACATATTTTAAAGGATGTTTCATCCAAAGATGAGTACCCCAGGGCCCGGAAACAAATAAAATTGGCCCTCAGGCTCTAGAAAGCAATTTGCTTTGCAAATGAGTATCACTCCAACCCATTCTGCCTTTTCATCTGACAATTTTCTGGTCCCCAACAGTGGGTTCCCAAGTGACAGGAGCCACTAGCAGGGGCATTTCCAAGAGCAAAGGCAAGACAAGATTCTCCTGCAGATACCCAGTAGGAGACTTTGTTCAGAATCAACTGAATTAATTGCTCTCAAGCAAACACAGATGTGGTTACCGAAGCTTAATCCTCCTGTAGCCGCCCACCAAAGTAAAGCCCTTTTAAGAGATTAGTTTGTGACCCAGCAAACCCTCCTCCTATTACTTATGATCTTGCTCAAAATAAACGTAACAGTAGGAGTTTCTCAAAACCTGGAAATAATTTCAGTAAGACTTACCTGTTTGACTGAGCAGTTGAGCTGATCTTTCTAAATTAGACCATCCTTCACTGTCAAAGCCAAACCTGAAAGGCCAGACGGCGGCAAAGACCTCTGTGGCTGGTGCCTGGGGAATTGTTTTAATGATAATTTAGGATGAATGAACAATGGCAGTTTCAGTGATCCACTCTTCTCCACCTCTCTCCACCAAAATTCATATTTCAGCAAAGGATATTTTTTAGGCATCTGCCCACAGCTAATGCATAATAATAAGGAGATATTTGCTAGTAGGTATTTTATAATCTGTGAATTTCTAGCTTAGGCTTGGAAGTTAGGGAGAATGTTTAGAAAGTGATATTTCTGATAAGCACTGTTTATAAAAGCAAAAAATTAGAAACAACCTGGCTGTTGTTTCAATAGGAAAAATAGGAAAATGAATAAAAAAACGATCATACATAAAATGGAATACTACACAGCCCTAATAAATGAATTAGGGCTACATATTTCCATATGGATGAATCTCACCGGGATTATTTTAAATAAAAAATTAAGTTGCAGGGCTTCCCTGGTGGTGCAAGTGGTTGAGAGTCCGCCTGCCGATGCAGGGGACACGGGTTCGTACCCCGGTCTGGGAAGATCCCACATGCCAAGGAGCGGCTGGGCCCGTGAGCCATGGCCGCTGAGCCTGCACGTCCAGAGCTTGTGCTCCGCAACGGGAGAGGCCACAACAGTGAGAGGCCCACATACCACACACAAAAAATTAAGTTACAAAATATATATGTCAGATGTTATTTAGATAAAGTTAAAAACATGGAAAAATACAATATTGTATAGAGGTGAGTCATGTGTAATAACAATATAAAGAAATGCATGAATATGATAACAAGCATATGCAGGAAGGGGTTACCCTTATATCAGAGAATGAGACCACAGAGGGATACACAGTGTCCTTTACCATATTTACAGAGTGGTCTGCCAACTCTGCGTTATACGTGGTGTTGCTCCCCACTGTGCTGGCAGGGCCAAGGTTCAGGAGCACAGCACCCTCTGAAGAGTCCTCTTTTGAGCCCATGGGTCCAGTCAGAGAATGCAGTGCCCAACACTAACCATCTATTTCAAATTAATACCAACGGATCAACAACAGGGATCCTATGAAAGAGTATGGCCAGATTAGACCAACTCTATCACCACAACTGAAAAAAACAACTCAAAGTGGAACACACAAGTTCAAGCTAAGAGAAGGGTAAGCACCACCTCTTTGCATAGGAGGGCCACCACTTAACCTAAACAGCTCCTTGTGCTACAGCAGTGAGGTGTGAATCGCATCTCTATGCAAGAAATATTACTCAGTTTACTGAATGTCCTATAAAGAGAACAGAACCATCAAGAGAGACTTTGAGAGGCATGATTATATTCATCAAGTTATAGCTTTTCACGTAACTACATACCTATGATTAACTCTGGCTCTCATCACTCCAAAACCTGTTATTCCCACGTCAGTAAATGCCACCACCCTCCATCCAGTTGCTCAAGCCAAAACATAGAAGTCATCCTTGATTCTTTCCTTCTTCTCATTCAGTGTCATCTAATCCATCAGCAACTTCTATCAGCTTTACTTTCAAAATATATTCTAAGTCTATCCACTCCTCTCCAACTCCAGGGCCACGGCTCCCATCCAAACTTCCAGGGTCTCTCTCCTGGACAACTGAAAAAGCCTCATAACTTATCTCCCTGCTTCTACTCTACAATCCATTCTTCACAGAGCAGCCAAGTTAATATACATCATATTTCTTCCTGCTCCTGCGTGAAGTATTCTGGTGGCTTCCACTGCAAGAAAAATAAAGTCAGAACTCCTTTCTGTGCTCTGTAGGCCATATATCATATAAAATTCTATATCAAAACTTTTAATGACTTACCCCTCTTCCCAATTTCTTCTCATAGGTTTTATGCCGTAGTCCTAATCCCAACAACTTCACACTGACAAGCAGCCACAAAACTAAACAGAAACTGAAATAATTGTTTAGAAGAAACTAAGTTTCTTTTTTAAAAAAATAACTTTATGAAAATATTGAATTTATTGGCCAAGATTGTATGTAAAGGGGCAATGTCTAGTTCCTGGGTTAATTTTCATGTGTGACATGCATATATAACCCATACTTTAAACTCAGGTTTCAAAGAAGCTTCCCTAAAAATGTTCCAAGAACCATGAACTAAAATAAAAATAAATCACAAATATATACAAGAAATAATATACAAGAAAGCAAGTCTCCATGAGCAGGAACCACAGCAAAAACACCCTGCTGAATCAAACCCAAAATACTTCAGATATTAAAAATTTTAGAATCGAATATAAAATAAGCATGCTTAACATGTTTAGAAAAATAAAAGAGGATATTCAATGGGATAACTAAGAAATATGAGATTAAATTAATGGGCAAGAAAATTTGTAAAGAAATTAGACTTCTAGAAATAAAATTATATGATAATTATAACAATTAAAATTAGAAACTCAATGGACAAGATAAAAAGCAGATTAGACAAAACTTAATGGAGAATTAGTAAAAGGGGCAGCTTAAAAACAAAGGTAGAGAATATGAAAGAGGTTAAGGGACACGAAGAAGAGAATAAGAAGATCCAACACATATCTAACTGGAGTCAAAAAAGGAGAGAAGGGAAAGAGGTAATATTTGCAGAAATAATGCTGAGAATTTTCCAGAATTGTTAAAAAAAATGACTCTTCAGATTCAAAAAGCCCAAACACTCACAAGTAAGGGAGGGGCTGGATCCACATCCAGATGTATTACAGTGAAACTCAGAACACCAAAACAAAGAAAAATCTTAAATGCTGCCAGAGAGAAAAGCCACTGTATCTTCAAAAGAGCAAAGATTACACTGATGGCTGACTTCTCAAAAGCAAAAAATGGAAGTCAGACGATAGGGGAATACTATCTTTAATGTTCTGAGAAAAAAATAACCAACTACTGAAAAAAAGAAATTGAAGGTATAATTTCCAACCTAGAAACAGGAGTGGAGAGGAGAAGGATAAGAAAAAAGGAAAAAGAAAACTCAGTCAATGCAAAAGCAAGAAGAAAAAAGAGGAAACATACACCTAGAGAAAGTAGAAAAAGCAAAGTAAGCGTATGGAAATAAATCATAACACAAGGGAAATCACGACAAAAATAAATTACATTTCAAGTTAAAAGACAAAGATTGACATTCTAGTAAAAGCAAACAATGGAGACAGTAAGGAGGTCAGTGGTTGCCAGGGTCTGGAGGAAGGAGGGAAGGATGAATTGGTTGAGCACATTACCATGTTTACGACAGTGAAACTATTCTGTATGATACTGTATAGTGGATAAATGTCATTATTCATTTGTCAAAACCCACAGAACACATATAAAAAAAGAGTGAACTCTAAACTGTGGACTTTAGTGAATAATAATGTATCAATATTGGCTCATCAATTGTAACAAATGCACCACAATAATGCAAGATGTTAATAATGGTGGAAACTGAGGAGGTGGGAGTGTGAGCCGATATATGGGAACTCCACACTTTCTGCTCAATTTGTCTGTAAACCTAAAACTGCTCTGAAAAATAAAATCTATTATTATTTTTTTTTTAAAGCAGACAGTCATTGCAATTGGCAGGGGAGGGAGGGATGAACAGGCAGAGCACAGAGGATTTTTAAGGCAGTGACACTATGCCATATGATATTACAATGGTGGATATATATCCATTATACATTCATCAAAAACTACAGAATGTACAACATCAAGAATGAGTCCTGGGCTTCCCTGGCGGTGCAGTGGTTGGGAGTCCGCTTGCCGATGCAGGGGACGCGGGGTTCGTGCCCTGGTCTGGGAAGATCCCACATGCCGCGGAGCGGCTAGGCCCATGAGCCATGGCCGCTGAGCCTGCGCGTCCGGAGCCTGTGCTCCGCAACGGGAGAGGCCACAACAGTGAGAGGCCCGCGTACCGCAAAAAAAAAAGAATGAGTCCTAATGTAAACAAAGGGCTTTGGGTGATAGTCCTGTTTCGTTGTAGGTTCATCAGTTGTGGTAGGGCATGTCACTAGCAGGGAAGGCTGTGTATAAGTGGGCTCAGAGGGTCCTACGGGAAATCTCTGTACTTTCTGCTCAATTCTGCTGTGAACCAAAAATGGGCCCAAAAAATAAAGCTTGCTTTGGAAAATCATACAAAGCTATCTAAACAACTTTGTGAATAAGTTGTTTCAAGTGCCTCAATTTGATGAATGAATTAAATAATTTAATAATAATAGTAATAATAAAGACAAAGATTATCAGGACTAAAAACAAACAAACAAAAGCCGCCAGATCCTGATTTCAAGGGACAGACCTAAAGTATAAGAATACATACAAAAAAAAACAAAAAAAACCTAAATTTAAATTTTTCCCCTAAATTTTAATATAACTTTTTCAAATTATGATGGAACATATATGAAAGTGTTTATATAATGATCTAACTGCTTCATGACATTTCCTTTAGAAATATATTAAAATTTTATTTAGCTTCTTAATTGTTTTTTAGCTCTTTACACCATAAGATTCTGTCTTCTCTAGTAAAGCATCAGGTCATTGACGGTAGAGACCAGATTTTATATATCTTTGTATTCTACATAATGCTACGGAGTTATGCAGTATGTTGTATCCTAATACACTATCTGCAAATGTTACACATTCAATAAACATTTTTATTTAATCTAGTATATTTTGAGATGAGTCAGACTGAATAGCAAACTAATTTCATGCCTGAGTTTCCAGCTCATCAATATTCCAAACATTAACATATTAAATCTTCCAAAAAAGAACAAGAAATGAAATAAATGGTCTCAACTATTATAACAAAATATTTTGGAAATCCTACCTGTTAAATCTACATTAGAAGTGAAACAAAACTAATCCAGAGTATTTATGGTTGAAAAAACACAATATCAGAGATTTGCTTTAAAGTATTTTACCAAAAAATGTAAGATAGGTATTAACAACATTAGCAAATGTTAATAATTGTTGGAACTGGTTTAAGGGTACATGAGAGTTCATCATACTCTTTAATCTCATATGTCTGAAAATTTATGTTTCATAATAAAATGCTTTTTTTTAAACATCTTTATTGGAGTATAATTGCTTTACAGTGTTGTATTAGTTTCTGCTGAATAACAAAGTGAATCAGCTATCTGCATATGTATATCCCCATATCCCCTCCCTCTTGCGTCTCCCTCCCACCCTGTCTATCCCACCCCTCTAGGTGGTCACAAAGCATCAAGCTGATCTCCCTGTGCTATGCAGCTGCTTCCCACTAGCTATCTATTTTACATTTGGTAGTGTATATATGTCAATGCCACTCTCTCTTCGTCCCAGCTTACACTTCCCCACTCCATGTCCTCAAGTCCATTCTGTACATCTGTGTCTTTATTCCTGTTCTGCCCTTAGGTTCATGAGAACCTTTCTTTTTTTTTTAGATTCCATATATATGTGTTAGCATACAGTATTTGTTTTTCTCTTTCTCACTTACTTCACTCTTTATGACAGACTCTAGGTCCATCCACCTCACTACAAATAACTCAATTTCGCTTTTTTACTTACATTCCCACCAACAGTGCAAGAGGGTTCCCTTTTCTCCACACCCTCTCCAGCATTTATTGTCTGTAGATTTTTTGATGATGGCCATTCTGACTGGTGTGAGGTGATATCTCATTGTAGTTTTGCTTTGCTTTTCTATAATGATTTGTGATGTTGAGCATCTTTTCATGTGTTTGTTGGAGAAATGTCTATTTAGGTCTTCTGCCCATTTTTGGATTGGGTTGTTTGGTTGTTTGATATTGAGCTGCATGAGCTGCTTGTATATTTTGGAGCTTAATCCTTTGTCAGTTGCTTCATTTGCAAATATTTTCTCCCATTCTGAAGGTTGTCTTTTCATCTTTTTTATGACTTCCTTTGCTGTGCAAAAGCTTTTAAGTTTCATTAGGTCCCATTTGTTTATTTTTGTTTTTATTTCCATTTCTCTAGGAGGTGGGTCAAAAAGGATCTTGCTGTGATTTATGTCATAGAGTATTCTGCCTATGTTTTCCTCTAAGCGTTTTATAGTGTCTGGCCTTACATTTAGGTCTTTAATCCATTTTGAGTTTATTTTTGTGTATGGTGTTAGGAAGTGTTCTAATTTCATTCTTTTACATGTAGCTGTCCAGTTTTCCCAGCACCACTTATTGAAGAGGCTGTCTTTTCTCCATTGTATACTCTTGCCTCCTTTATCAAAGATAAGGTGACCATATGTGCGTGGGTTTATCTCTGAGCTTTCTATCCTGTTCCATTGATCTATATTTTTGTGTGTGTGCCAGTACTATACTGTCTTTATTTTTTTTAGAGTTTTATTTGGTTTTGTTTTCAATTTTTATTTATTTGTTTTTGGCTGCACTGGGTCTTTGTTGCTGTGTGCGGGTTTTCTCTAGTTGCGAAGCTGGGGCTACTCTTTGTTGCGGTGCACAGGTTTCTCATCGCGGTGGCTTCTTGTTGCAGAGCACGGGCTCTAGGCGCACGGGCGTCAGTAGTTGTGGCATGCAGGCTTAGTAGTTGTGGCTCTCAGGCTCTAGAGTGCAGGCTCAGTAGTTGTGGCACATGGGCTTAGTTGCTCCGCGGCATGTGGGATCTTCCCAGACCAGGGCTCGAACCCGTGTCCCCTGCATTGGCAGGCGGATTCTTAACCACTGCGTCACCAGGGAAGTCCCCATACTGTCTTGATTACTGTAGCTTTGTAGTATAGTCTGAAGTCCAGGAACCTCAACATAATAAAGGCCATATATGATAATAAAATGCTTTTAAAAAGGAAGCAAAACTATACTCACCAAGTTTCATGTATTTTCCACTCTCTCTGAAAAGCATTTTAGGACTGTTTTTTGTTTGAAGATGAAAATCAAGGCTTTTCTTGGGACCAAATAGCATATTCAGTCCAATAATTAGCATCACTGTCACTGTTAAAAAAAAGAAAGATGAATATATTACATTCTAATCCAAAAATCCTTCTAATGGTAAATTCCAGGAGCCTCGATTTCGTTTAAATGGACATATCCTGAAAAATCAGTTATTGAGTTATCTCAGTACCTAATTAATTACTCCAGTGTTACTTTTGATAATTAGGATGATCATAAGAAATCAGGTAGGGTTCTAGAAATTATGCTTTACATTAAAAAAACCCGCACTTTTTCTGATGAGGGGTTTCTTTGAATTTCCTGAGTGTTTCCTAGTTGTTAGATTGGTAATAGTGTTGGTCACTGACTGTTGGTCATGCAGGGAAGGGTGGGGAGAAGAGAAAGCAGCCTTCTGGACTGCCTTAGGGACTCAGTCTTCTCCACTGAAGGGACCACAGGCACCGAGTTGAGGAGCACAAGAGGAGGATTTGTAGGTTCTTAATACGGCAGTGTTTGTGGCAACAGTTCTGGCCTGGATTGTGGGTCCACACAGAGGATGCATGCTGGAACTCACACTGGGCCAAGAAAGATGAGCTTAACTGGGGTGCATTCCAATGTAGCTTACACGTGAAGTCTACAGACTTCTAATGTTGTACATAATGAGAATGGAAACAGAGGTATGGTTGAACAATATATAAATTAGAGAATGTCAAGTAAAAGTTATGCTTAGGTGGAAGGCTAAAAAAAAAGAGTTATGTGCAATTTCCAGGAAATAGCAGGAGAAACCTAGACAATACATTTATATCTAGTTTCTGATCTAATACAGATTCTTTTCAATCATTATTCAAAGCTACTCTGAACATTACTAATGTTCCTTAGTTTTTGTGGCCTTATCGACATAATGTCACTCTTACTAAAAAGAATTCTTAGTTGTTTGAAGCTGGAATAAAGCACGATTTCTGCAATTCCATTAAGTAGCGAGAAGGAACTAAAAACACCCTTCATTCATAACATTCTAAAGAAAGAAATATATGCTTAGAATGGCTCTTACTTTCATTCGTTTGCTCCACATGGCAGACCCCCAAACAAGCTGGAGTAAGAAAAAAGCAGGGCATTGGATAGGAAGATAGAGCAGGAGAGAGTACACACACACCTGAAAGAAATCAGAAGAAATACAAAGTTCGCAAAGCCGAGATTATCACAGAGGAAATGCAGGGATGTATGTCTCTGATCAGCTGACAGCCTGGATGTCCCACCAGAAATAGCAAATCCTCAAAAGTTTTTAAAAATATCTCACATAATTGAAAAATACCTCTTCCAAATCAGCCTGTCCTGACAGATGTCTAGCTCATAGAGGAGAAAAGTTTATGTGAAAATGTACAGGGTGATTGGATATATTCCAAGGGCACAAGGGGGAACTGCAGATGAACATAAGTAGAAACCCAGACTTTTGTGCAGCACTTACCCCAGCTGTAACCCCCTAAGAATTTGTCTAATCTGATGTGTGGTATCTCCCCCATTACACAGAAGCTCCAGGTGGGTAGGACCCTATGTCTCTTAAATCCCCTACACCTGGCACTGCGCCTGGACCATAGTAGGTGCACAATAATTTTTTAATGAGTAAGTGAACAAACGGAAAAATGTCTGAGCAAACAAGAACTGAAACCCCTATTAACATGTTTTGTCTCCTCAGTTTTTCAAAGATTTTATCCTGGAGGCTTTGGACATGTTTTACTTATACTAAAATGACAGGCAATATTTGATCTGTGTCTGCTTGGTACACATCAGGAATTTCACTATTGCCAGAAGACAATTTCTGAAATATTAAACTGAACTAAGTTTATGCTATTTGAATTTTGGTACATAAGTTCATAACCACTGAAATGGAAGATATGTACTCTATGATTTGAGAATTTACCATTTACACTAAGATTCACATATGAAAAAATCTTTTGGTAAAAAGAGGGTAAATAAAAACCATACATAAAATTCAAGGGAACCAAAAAAAATCACACTTCCTATATATATCTACAAGCCTACCACCAAAATAGCAATGTGAGCACCATGATCATATTTTCTCCTTACGTATCATATAATATGGGGTTACGGGGACCTTTTTATAACTTATTATGGATTAAACTTGTTTCTTTCACAGCTACTCACTTCCAAGGCCTTTGCAGTAATATTACTGAAACTCATTAATGAATTAAGAAATTTATTTTTAAATAGTAATTTAGACATTCCTCCAGGTTTTTTTTTAACCAAGAGGGTCTATTTCAATAAGAAAAGCAAGATCATCCTATTTATCTTAATCAGCCATGTAAAGTGCTAAATCCTAGTCAGTCCTGAAGGGGATTTTTGAGTAGTTACTTGAATCCAGACCTTTCACATGTACGCACCCAAAAGCACATCAGATCTTTCTCTAGCGTACACACCTCCTGGGACAAATTTAAAAGCTGTGCACCATGCACAGAAAAATATTTCTAGAAGATAAAATATCATGGCAGTGGTCATGGCTTTCCCAGGGCCTGACCCTGAGCTGATAAGGTGTCCAAGCACTTGAGGCCACATGGACGCCGTGAAGAGGGCGAGCACACAGCCAGAGAGAGCGGCTGCCCACGTGGGCAGGTAAAGGAGACCCACAGCCGAGGTCGCTCCTGTTTGTGAGAGAGAGAAAGAAAAACAATCAGACAGGAAAGTAGTAATAGTCTCTTCCATTTTCTTAAAAAAAAAAAAAAAAAAAAGGAATAATAAACTTATATAGGATGACCGATTTATAGCTATTTAGAGCCAGAAGGGACCTTAGGGCCATTCTGGTTCAGTTTCTAGACTGGTGAGAAACTAAGGTCTTGGCAAGGTTAACATGCTTTGCTCAAGGTCATGCAGCTAGTTACTTGCACAACTGGAGGTGGAATGTGGGTCCAGTAAATCTCAGTCCAGTGCTATTTCTTCAGGAAGAACAGCAGGAGAGAAGAAGTCATTTTTAGTTTATTTGTGTTAAGATCTTCATAGCAAACACTGGAAAAAAAAAAAAAAGGAAATTACCTTTAATACCAAAATTTGTTAATTTAATTTAACCAGCCAGATCTAGGACATTAGGAAACATGGAGAGTCATGTTTGTAGAACATTTTTGTTAAGAAACTTTCTAAAGGAGTTTAAATGCTGCCCCCGTCCCACAATATATAAGTTGGCTTTACCAACTCCATAGCCCCCCCCAAAGAAGCTGTGACTGAGACTGCATTTGCAGACTCACTACTTTACAGTTCTGCAGGCAGTTCATTCATTCACACAACAGCCTCGGAGGTGCTGGGGGCTGTGCAATCTGCCTGGTCCACAGCAGGCACTTAGTAAATGTCTGCTAATTCGTTGAGCCAAATCTGAGGGAATATAACATTTCTCCATAGTCCTATGAAATCCGCTGTGAGACAGCAGCACAGCAGGGGCTTACAGCACCCCATTTTGGAGCCATCAATATAACACCTTTGCAGAGAATATGACATCCTCTAGACATTGGACATTTCAGTCAATGTTGTATAACAGTGAGCCACCCTTCAAGTATGTCTACAGCAGCCTCCTCACTGCTTGCGGCAAGAGCCCCGGGAAGAGGATCCAGCCAGCTTCTTAGTGCCCCGTGGCGCTCACCCGTCAGTAAGTTCTACTTGCACCATCACAGGACAATGCCATGTGACTGCCTATTCCTCCCCACTTCAAAAACAACCCACAGATTTTAACTCCATAGTTAGACCTTCAAAATCTTAGATCCAACAACAATTATTTTAATGACAAAAGTTTTTTTTTTCATTTTGAAATGAACAAACATAATGCCTATTCACTGCAGAAATTTAAAAAATACAGAACTGTGAACAAGCAATGAAGGATCGCCTAGGACTGAGATGAGATGATCCCAGCTAATACTCCTATGTATTTCCCCTATGTCTTTTTCTGTGTATATGAAGAAGTATTTTTACATAAATGGAATCGTATCACATATTGAGGATTCTATTCTGCTTTTTGTGGGACATTATATCAAGAACATGTTTTTCGTGTTATTAATGTTTTTCTTCTAAAACATGTTTATGTACGTACACTCTTGCACTGGATAAATACACACAAAAATAAGCAACCATTTTCCTATTCTTGGCCATTTAGGAAGCTTCTGACACTGTGAGGAACATCTTTCTTTGTCAATTAGTCTCTTACTACACCTCTGATTATTTCCTTAAAATAATTCTTAAAAAGATTCTTAGACGTACAACTACTACGTCAAGAGACAAAAGCATTTTAAAGAGTCAATACTTGTGGTCAACTGCCTTCCCGGGAGGTTATACCAGTTCTCACTTCCTCCAGAAACCCTGCCAGAAGTCCAAAAGGTGAGCCTTTTGAACCCTGCCAAAAGCATTTCTTTTTAAAAATCTTTACCAAATTAATGATTAAGTCATAGCATATTTTGATTTTCATTTATTTCATTATTAGGGAGAGGGAATTTTTCCTGTTTACCAGCTTATAATGCCTATTTTTCAAAAGAATGAGTCCTAGTTTGATATTTTAATCTAAAGATATCAAAATGGCTTTGTTGTGTCTGTCTTACTACAAAGAATTATCTGAAGGGAAAGAAAATATCTCTTCAAATTTCCCTCGACTGTTACCACTTTCATTTTTAATTTAGTTTCTATTTTTAAACAGGCTACATATTTTTAAATCCACTAAAACTGTACTTTTATTTATTTTATTTATTTTATTTATTTATTTTTGGCTGCGTTGGGTCTTCATTGCTGCACACGGGCTTTCTCTAGTTGCCACGACTGGTGGCTACTCTTCGGTGAGGTGCACGGGCTTCTCATCGTGGTGGCTTCTCTTGTTGTGGAGCACAGGCTGTAGGCGCGTGGGCTTCAGTAGTTGTGGCGTGTGGGCTCAGTAGTTGTGGCTCGCAGGATCTAGAGCACAGGCTCAGTAGTTGTGGTGCACAGGCTTAGTTGCTCCGTGGCATGTGGGATCTTCCCCAACCAGGGCTCGAACCCACGTCCCCTGCATTGGCAGGTGGATTCTTAACCACTGCGCCACCAGGGAAGCCCCTAAAATTGTCCTTTTAAATAGACTATAAATTCAATCCAAACTCTGAAAGGTAAAAAAGAGTCCCTCTGTCCCCTGTCACCTATTAGTTCCCCTAGCGAAGGCCAACAATGTTAGCATTTTCTTCTGCATCCTCCCAGAGATAGTCTGTGCACAGGAAGAAAAAGGCATGTGTGTGCATTTCCCTTTTTGTACACCAGTGGTAGCATATGATACACCGTTACTTTACCTTTTTCTCTTAACTATACAGCTTAACTATTTTTTGTTTGAGACTGAGTCCTCCCAAATAATCCCCCCCAGATCTTTACAACATCTAAGACACCAAGCAGAATTCATGGTAATTGAATATTCCAATGATATTTATAGTAACTAACACGTTCACTTTAAACAGATCAAGTTTCTTATACAATAAAACTGTAAGCACACTGTATAGCACACTGGGGTCCTACCAGTGCATTGAGTACATTTATGTCTTTTTAAATAGAACTTTGATTTTACTAATTTAATCGCTATCAAGATCTAAAGTTCCTGTATCTTTGCATTTGGGAAATTCTATTGGTCACTTCCATAATTAATTTCATACTGGGACCCAGATGGGACTTTAACTGTACAATGAAAAAAATATGATTTCTTTTTCTGCATTCTGCTTTATGAGGTGTTTTCCAGAGACGAATCACAGTGAAAAGTGGGCACCATCTCTAGATAATTGTGAGCTCCTACTTAATTCAGGTGAGGAGACCATCAGAGAGGGAGATGGAGCTCACTAATTACGGCCCTGCTTTCCTCTCTACTGCAAACAGCCCATTAGAAGCCCGAAATCTGCTTGCCCCGAGGGCCTTTTATTTCACACTTCAGAGAGACAGTCAAACTAAATTAGGTTTAACTCTGGAGGCTATGTTTACTTATCTGGGGAAATAAGCATGAGCATAAAATAACAAGTTCACAGCTTTTCTGTTCTTTAAGTTTATGTTTCTGTGGACCTCAGTGTTCCCATGTTTGAAATGAAGCTGCTAATTACCTGCCCAATAAGCCTTCTGCTCCTATTCCGTAAGAAAAGACATGATATAAATGCTGCGCAACTTTCAATGTATTTCATGTTCATTTTCCTAATTGCATAGAGATTAAGAAGCTATATATGCTCACTGCACACTCCGCATTTACAAAGTTACCTGGCCATTTTTGTGCGGAATCTCAGGAGGCATTTCTCTGATGAGAAGAAAGGTTCCTCCTACATTATATTCACACAAGCATCCCCATATGGAATGTCTACCCGAAAATACACAAGCAAGTAAAAACAGCTCAACATGACCGCAACCGTTTGCTCACACAGTTCCAGGAGGATGACGACCTGGTTAACCTCAGGAATTAAGCAGCCTATTTGGATGACATACACGTCTTCATGCAAGGATGATGGTACTGAGGGTGCACAGAAACGTACCTACGAGGTTATTTAACCCTCATCTTCCATTACCGTTACATGTAGTCTCAGAAACCCACGCCCAGCCTCTAGTACAAAACTCTGAATCACCTGCTTAATTAAAATGTATAAGGACATCTCAAGAAACCAAACATAGTATTTGCCCTGTCACAGAGCGGGAATTCTTTTATTTAACACTAAAACTGACTCTCACCATTCCTGCCTTTTAAGGGGAAGGGAGCAGAGTGGCATAATTCAGTTTCAGTCACAGTAATGAAATGGTCATAATCATAAAAATAAGTAGATTGCTCCAGAAGTATGACAGTCTCCATTGATATTCTATATTCCTGAAGGGTGTGAATGGGCAGAGAGGGTCCAAGCCTTTGAATAAGCAAACATGGACCCCAAGGCTGGGTAAAGGAGGGCCAAAACTGTTACACACGAAAGAGAAAGGGAAAGTGAGCTTCATTATCGAGTCCCAAAAGAAGGTATTCCTGAAAACAGAGAAGCGCTTGGAGAGGGGAAGAGGTCTGGCAAAGTGTCAATGTCTGACCCTCCATCCCCGCAGACTGTCAGTAAAACTGTTCCTGACATCTGTGCCTGGATAAGTCATTTAGGAGGCAGGGGAGAGTATATCAGCACAGTCAGGGGATAAGACAGCTAAGGAGGAGAGGGAAAGTGAAGGAGGAGAAAGCAGGGACCTGGAACCAGTAGTCACTGGTAACCGTGGTGATATCTGGGTTTTAGTGGCTGCACTTGGTGAGACTATCCCACCAGGCAACAGCACATGTTGTATGGTCATCTCCTTCCACTCCAGGGGCACATGGAGTAAATTGGACAACTGCAAGTAAATTGGACAACGAAGCATTTCTGTAGGGAAACCACACACCTGTCATCCACCAGGTTAAACTGGAACCAGGAAACCATGAACAAGGCGAAAGTATCAATCCACTCGCCAAGCCCAGCAGAACTGCACCTCTGTAAAAAAATGATACGTTATAGGACATCTGACATTATTACTACTCCATTGTCCCAAATATAAAACAGATATGTATCTACTACCTCTAGGCACATGCAAGAGATAATATGAGTGTGAAACAACCAGTGAGATAATGAAAGCCCACTGGGAACCAATATTATATACATTCAGAACATTGACATAAAAGCACCTCTGACTTGAGATAAACGATATCTGCAGTCTTTCATGGTCAGTGTAAACACAGTAATTGAGTTTTCTCAGACTATTAAATTATAGTTCATACTGGCCACGTGACATTTTAAATGACTCTGCCAAAGATAAAAAGAAAAAGACACTGGGAATAGTTTCTATTTAGTGTGCCTCTTTTCACTCTTTTCTCAACCTCAGTACTGCTTTTATCAATAGTCTTTGCCTGGGCTTCCCTGGTGGCGCAGTGGTTGAGAGTCCGCCTGCCGATGCAGGGGACACGGGTTCATGCCCCGGTCCGGGAAGATCCCACATGCCGCGGAGCGGCTGGGCCCGTGAGCTATGGCCGCTGAGCCTGTGTGTCCAGAGCCTGTGCTCCGCGACGGAGAGGCCACAACTATGAGAGGCCCGCGTACAGCAAAAAAAAAAAAAAAAAAGTCTCTGCCTTCCTGGGACTGATGTGAGTTTGGTAAATAATTAATAGTTGTGTGTTTTTAAAAACAACCACAAACTATTTCATTCTGTTGCTACTTTGGCAAAAACTTGGAGGAGGAGAAAAAAAAAGAATTTAAACTTTAGGGGAAAATCCAGCAGCAATAAAAGCTACAACATGGCACTCAGTAAAATAGCTGTAATATAAATAAACTAAAAAACATAGTACTTACTACATACCAGGCACTGTTTGAAGATTTTTACATATATTAGCTCATCTAACACTCACAAGTCTGTGGTAAATGCGATAATTATCCCCATTTTGCAGAGGAGGACACTGCGGGAAAGAGCACTAAGAAACCTGCCACAGATTGTACACGGTCGCCCACGTAGGACTAAGAATCCAAAAAAGGCCCTCCAGCTCTGGAGTGAGGCTCTCAGCCGCTCTCCTGCCTATCCCCACCTTCTAAGGTTAAGGGTGGTCCTGGGTCTACAGAAGAGAGAAAAGGCTGGCGAGGACACTGTGGATCACTGTCTATCCCCAAGTCAACCACAAATGTTTATGAGGACCTACTGTGTGCCAGGCTCTGTTCTAGGGGCTTGGGATGTGTCAGTGAACAAAGATCCCTTTCCTTCATGCGCTCACATTCCAGTGGCGGAGAGGGCCAGACAATAAACACAGTTAGAAAATAGCACAGGATATTAGAAGGTAGAAGACACTAAAGAGGGAGAGTTTGGGGGTCAGGAGTGCTGGGGTGGGCTAATGGGAAGCTGGAACATGTGGCTAAGAAAGTGTCCTGCTCCCTCATCCTCCCAGGCTCTGTGGTCTGCACTGATCCTCTGGTTTCCCAAAGTCCCCTCAGCACCATCTGTGCCTCTCTCTCAGCTTCCTCCCATCTCCCACATCTTCAGCCCATCAAAATAGATTTATGACCCATCCCCTTAAGTAGAAACTAGAGAATTTAGAGAGCAATTCCTACTATGACGGTCATAGGTGATGATGATCTAATGCAACACTTCTCAGACAGGGTTCTGAGAAACACCAATTTTATGATGTGTTGATAGGTGTTCTAACAAAGGAATTCCATGTTCGAGTAAGTTGGAGAAACTCCCGAGTGACTCTGTGATGCTAATGTGCCTTGTGAATCACAAAGGAAGATGAAGTACAGTGTTTCCAAAACCTACTTGATCTAAACGAGGTTTTGGTTTTGCTTGTTTTTTCTCTCAGATTACCCATTAACATCTCAAGAAACCAGTGTTCCACACAACACGATTTGGGAAATGCTGGTCTCAGGCGGTGCATCTCCATCTTCAAGGTGTCACTCCAGCACACAAAATCATAAAATGAAAACCCTCATTTTAAAGGTGAGTAAAACAAGGCCAGGGACGTTAGGCGACTGGTCCAAAGTTGAATGGTGAATTGCTGTCGGCCAACCAGGACTCCAACCCTCAAGACTGGCCTCGGATTCCTGGTCCAGTTCTCCTGTCGCTCTTCCTCACATCTTATGCTTGTTTTCATGGGAGCTTTGGAAATGAAGCTTTAACACATAAGAATAAACTCCTTCCCTCCCCCTCTCTTCTGTGCCTTTCTTCCTTCTCTCTCCTCCTCCCAAATATGCCAGAGCATCCAAGATCAAAAAGATATAGACTCTGGATGAGATCACATATGTACACTTCCTAGCTCAGGGCCGGACACAGAGGAACTCATAAGTATTAGTTCCTTTTCCCATTCCCGGCCCTCAAAGAGTTTAGCGTCTAGAAAGGATGAAGGACATAAAATAACTGTAGTATAAACAATTTGTAATACAGAATAATAATAAGAGATGTACAAGGGGGTGGGGGTGGGATGGGCATTCAAGGTAGTTTGTGGGATAATCAGAGAAGACTTCACAGAGGAGATGCATGACCTGGGTTTTGAAGGGTGAGTGAGAGCTTGCCGAGACATCAAGGCAGAGAAGGTAGCCCAGACACAGGGAAGAGCACGTACATACACATGGGGGGCTGGGACAATCTGGCACGTCTAGGGAACTGAAAGTGATTTCAGCCCAGGTGAAGCCTGGGGATAAGGCAGGGAGCATCTTTAAAACATTAAGTGAGGCTGAGGGTGCAGATCCTGTCTCATATGACCTGGTTTGGGGGAGAAAAACTGCTGAAAGGTTTTAAGCAAAAGAGTGATGGGGTCAGGTGTACATTTTAGAGATCTCACTCTCAGTGTGGAGATGGCCACACTGCACAGAGGCCATTAGAAGACCAGAGCAGTAGCCTGATGAAAGATGGGAGGATCCACTAAGGAGATATGGTGGGGGATGGCGAGGGAGGGATAGGTGCTTTAAGAGAAGTAGTAGAATCGACTGGACTTAATACCAAGTGAGATGCAGAAAATGAGGAAGACACACAATTCGAAGATGATTCCTGGTTTCCAGCTTAGACGGTAGAGGGACAGACAGAGTAAACCAAGGCCCAGAGGAGGAAGGACATGTCTGGGTAGTGAAAACTACTGAGCCAGACTTGGACACACTGCATGTGAGACAACTGTGGGATGTGCCCAGACATCCTCTGGGGAAAGAGCCAGTGTGTCTCCATATGTGGGAATTTCAGCACTTTAGGAGAAAACAGATATCTGTGGCAGATGTTTTAAGGGTTCCTCCCATCTTTTTATGTGAAAGGCTGGACCTGACCATGGGAGAAAAGAGGTGTCAGGAAGAGTAGAGAGAGGGTCAGTGAGGACCAAGCACAGGAACCAGCACTTAAGCTCAAGACTGCTAACTCCTTGGGAGCCCCATGGCTGGAACAAGTCCCAAAGTACAGAGGATGCAGAGCTCCCCCAGGCTTCCCTCCTTTGCAGAGATTAAAGCTCTCTGCCTTGCTGCCAACCCGCTCTCTCATCAAGGCCCTCTTGTCTCATCCTACCCAGTGCCCAAAACTGTAATAGGGGGATCTGGAGGAAATGCCATGCTTTCCCTGCCACTGAGAATGCTCTTCTTGGCAGGAATTCCTCAGCGTGCCCACGCAGGAGCTCCCAGGACCTCTCACTTAGCCGTGCACAATCCTTAGTCCTCCCTCATCTACCTCCCAGCAATCCTTCAGCACTGGGGCAAATACCCCTCCAGCTCCGTCATCTCCAGAGTGGATCCAGTACTGTCCTACTGCAGTAACGTCCTGCAATGTTTCTGACATCTAGGGAAAGAGGAATACGAAACATCGGGCTGGTGCAGGTCTACCTGCTCAAACAGAGGAGGAATTTCTTCAACAATACTAGCCAATTGCTGGATTGCTTCCACACCCAAACTCACCCAAATGGGTTAGGATCTGGCCCTGGATGGGGATGCCCACTCACTGCCCATCTGGAAACAAGAGAGACTTCTCCAAAAATCCAGTGGGTACGGAACATGAGACTGCCAAAGGCAGCCCCCTGCCAACAACCAGTTCGGTCTAGAAGCCATCACCCTGGCTGCCTCCTCCGACTTCTTCCCCTCAGGTCTACAGCAGGCACCATCTAGAATGAAAAATGGAAAAGGATCCGTTACATGGAAATTTACCCTCTGTATTTAACAGAATGGTACCTGGCCTCAAGGAGCTGACTTCAGAAGAGGAGATGAGACCCAGTCCAAAGCAGAATGTGCTGGGAGGTAGTCAGTGGGAGGGGTTATTTCAGGCAGGCTAGATCGGGAACGATTTAGGGAGAACCCATCATTTTGGAATTTGACAACTGAAAATGCAGAAATTTATTTACTTCATTAAAGTGAAATTAAGAGTATGAGCTAAAATATATGTACGAAAAGTGAAAGGTATGTTCAGGGAACAAATGCAGTCCACCTTGAGTGGAACACTTTCAGAATACCAGGCTGCTTCTCCCCAGAAGAACAGGGCTCTCATCTAACCCTCTGTGTCCCCGGAGTGATAACAGGGCATCGCCTGAGCAGTTACCATGGGCCAGGCCCTATGCCCAGCCCTTTACATGAACTCATTTAATTTTCACAACCACTTTACGAGGTAGGCTCTATTACTAATCCCATTTCACAGATTAAAAAACTGAGGCTCAGAGAAAACAAGTAACTTGCCCAAGATCATACAGCTGGTAAAGAGAACTTAGGCAGCACCTGTGCACTTCACTATACTATACTTCCCGGGACTGTTTAACCACGAGGTCTCAGTGTGTTGCATTAATGACTTCACATACAGAAATGTAACTACTGGAGAAAATGCTGGCAGGAGAATTTCTTTGTAGGAACAGAGAACCTGCTGGGTAGATGCTTCATGACACTGAGAAGCCCTCTCCAGGATAGAAAGAAAACTTCGGGTCTGCCTGTGAGGATGACAGGCCGATTTCACAAAGAGGAAGAAAGCCATTCTGCCAATAAAGGAGTGAGGGGAAGGAGAAGCAGAGCTGAAAGCTACAGGGATGAGGGAGAGAAGATGTGAAGACGGAAGGAGGCCAGGGCCTGGAGGCTAGGAGACAGTCTTTGGAGAAGAGAGAAGCCTAAGCTGAATTTGCTGATTAACACTGCTTCATACTATGGTGGGTGACCCTCCCCCAAGACCCAGCAAATCTTCAACAAAGCAACCCCCAAAAATGCCTGGGATGATCAGACATCCTGGGGAAGCTGGTGGGGAGTCAAGTTTTGTAAATGGGGCACAGTGCAAAAACAGGAAGGGACCAACAACTGGGTCACATAAATTTAAAACAGAGGTGAGAAAGAAGAAAGCTCCAGTCAGGAAATGTAAGCGATACCCTGAATATCCTTATCAGGCTGTACCTGTGAAATCTGCTGCCTGAGTTTCTACTTCATGTTAGCGATTTATGAAATAGAAGACATATACTAGAGCACTAGACCGAGTTCTAAATGTTCTAATTAATATCAATGTCCCTCGACCAATTTACGTGCATGATGTTCCCTTGTTCTCACTAACCCCACTTCATGCCAAAATTGGGGCCAAGGGGGAATTATACAAGCCCTTTGTTCATGGTGAGCCAAACCCTCTAAACTTCCATTAACCTGTGAGATTTCTCCTTGTATTTACAAAAGAACAGCGACTCACTGAGAGTTACACACAAAGCCAGGAGCAAGTTATGTAGAATCTAGTAACACTTGTCCCTTCTTTTCAGAAGAGTCTCGAGTTAGCATGTGAAGCGAATGTCCAAGTTTGTTTGTCAGCTCCAGACAGGTGATCTGAAAGGTGGTATGAATATGTAGGATTTCCTTTCTTTTTAAATTTCATATTTGGAGCTTAAATATCTTCAGAGTTGGGCCCGGGGCGGGGCGGGAACAAAAGCAAAAAACAAACAAACCAAAAGAAACCAAACAAACCCATGCAGTTCCCACAGTCCTCGTCCTGGAAAGTCCTGTCCAGAGGGAAAGAGGAGGTAGACAGAGCTGAAAGCCAGCAGGGAGTATGAGGCCTGGGTCTACTCTCGCACTCCATGCTGAGACAAGCCAGAGACGCATTGCTATCGTCACCCTCTATGCTGGCGAGGAAAAGGTGCCTTCTGCTTAGATAACAGTCCACTACCTGCGCCGGCTACTCTTGCAGAGGGAGAAAAAGTAGAAGTGGAGATAGAGTGCAGAAAGACTAGTTTTATCTTTCCAAGATGTGTTACATTCAGATAAGAAAGAGAAAATCCCTAAATAAACTGGGCCTACACTTACCTGTGTAAATGCAATCGAGTGTGGCAATGGTACTTAATGTCAGTATCACTCTGTTGGACATCTGATAAGTCCAGACTGGGTTCAGTGAAGTGTACCAAATGCGGAGAACAAGAAGAATCTGTCCTAAAATGAATCCCCAGATTCTGAAGTACCTGTAAGTACAGAAGTATTTTTAACAACTTTTTTTTTTTTGCGGTACGCGGGCCTCTCACTGTTGTGACCTCTCCCATTGCAGAGCACAGGCTCCGGACGCGCAGGCTCAGCGGCCGTGGCTCACAGGTCCAGCCGCTCTGCGGCATGTGGGATCTTCCCGGACCGGGGCACGAACCTGTGACCCCTGCATCGGCAGGCGGACTCTCAACCACTGCACCACCAGGGAAGCCCTTTAACAACTTTTTATGTGGTTTCAACGTACTATGTCCATTGTGAATTTCACAGTGTCATAGAAGGAGTATATGAGGTAGTCTTGTTGGTAATCTACATGACTTAGCCTCGTTGGCACATGACTTAGCCTTTGTATAGCCGTTACCTAGGCAACTTGTTATAATGCCTTCATTCTCACAATGTTATTGAGACTGATGGCAAATATTCACATCCCGATTTTGTGAAAAGTGAGACTTCTACAAGGCCTTATGCAAGATAAAGACTATATCTTGCAGCTCCTAGGCCCAACCTTCCCTTTGGTAATTGACCACATTTGTTTGTCTGTAGGCACAAGATATGAACCATACCTTTGCAAACCACTTCCTGTCCACCATGCCACAGCTTGCACTACCAGTGAGGAAGACAGACCGAGCGCGAGAACCACGAGCTGAAGTTTGGCATTTGGAGCCTGGAAGGAGGCTATGCTGCCTGCAAATGAAGGAGAACTAAACATTTCTGGCAATCATGCATTGGTATTCAATGATCTGCATTTGATAACTGCTGTGTCTGATACCATGGTTACACTCGGGAAGGTAGAATTAATATATAATTATCTGAGTGCATAAATCTTTTTGAAAATTTTTATTGAGATATCATTCGTACCATAAATTCACTCTGCTAAAGTGTATGATTCAATGGTTCTTAATACATTCACAAAGTTGTGCAACTCTTACCACTATCTAATTCCAGAACATTTTCATCACCCCAGGAAGAAACCTGTGCCCATTAGCAGCTCCTCCCTTTCCTCCTCTTCCCCCCAACCCCGACCCCCAGCCACCCACAATGCTTCTCTACTTCCTATCTGTATGGATTTTTCCTATTCTGGACATTTCATACAAATGAAATCATAAAATACGCAGCCTTCTGTGACTGGTTTTTTTCACTTAGCATAATGTTTTCGAGGTTCCTCCATGTTGATGGGCCTAGAGACTATCATACTAAGTGAAGTAAGCCAAACGGAGAAAGACAAATATATGATACCACGTACATATGGAATCTTACAAAAGAAAAAAGATACAAATGAACTTATTTGCAAAAGAGAAAGAGATTCACAGACATAGAAAACGAACTTATGGTTACCGATGGGAAAAGTAAGCGAGGGGGACAATTAGGAGGTTGGGATTAACATATACACATTACTATATTTAAAATAGATAACCAACAAGGACCTACTGTATAGCACAGGGAACTATTCTCAGTATTTTGTAATAACCTATAGGGAAAAAGAATCTGAAAAATATATTATATTATATTATATACAAAACTGAATCACTGTCTGTATACCTGAAACTAAGATGACATTGTAAACCAATTAAACTTCAATAAAATCTTTTTTAGGGGCTTCCCTGGTGGCGCAGTGGTTGAGAGTCCGCCTGCTGATGCAGGGGACATGGGTTCGTGCCCCGGTCCGGGAAGATCCCACATGCCGCGGAGCGGCTGGGCCCGTGAGCCATGGCCGCTGAGCCTGCACGTCCGGAGCCTGTGCTCTGCAACGGGAGAGGCCACGGCAGTGAGAGGCCCGCGTACCGCAAAAAAAAAATTTTTTTTAATCTTTTTAAAAAAAGGCCCATGCATGTAGTACCATGTATCAGTGCTTCATTCCTTTTTATGTCTAAATAATATCCCATGGCATGGATATACTGCCTTTTGTTTATCCATTCATCAGTTGATGGGCATCTGGGTTGTTTCTACTTTTTGGCTACTATGAATAATGACGTTAGGAACATTTGTGTACCAGGTCTTATGTGAACATATGTTTCCATTTTTCTTGGGTCTATACCAAGGAGTGGAGGTGTTGGGTCATATGACAACTATGTTTAACATCTTGAGGAACTGCCAAGTTGTTTTCCAAATCAGCTGCACCATTTTACATTTCCACCAGCCGTGTGTGAGGGTTTCAATTTCTTCATATCCTCGTCAACACTTATTGTCTATGATTTTGAACGTAGCCATTTTAGTGGGTCAAGATATTTAAGGTCAGAAATAACCTAAATCACTGGTAGTATGAACTAGTTTAATAGTTAACTACATAGTAATCAACCTAAAATATCTGAGGTGTCAGCGATGAGATAGCACAGAACCCTCAGATCTTCTTTGTAGTTATGTAAGAATGCCTTAGGACTCTGTAAAAACAAAGTTGTTTCGTTTCCTTAAGAAGCATCTGAAAAGGGAGTTTTAAGGCAAATCATGGCTTACTTCAGCCTCTCTTTAGCATCAACAAGCTCAATGGCTACCTGGAAGAGCATCTGACAAAAACTGGTTTCTTTCATGTGTTTGTTGGCAGTCTGTATATCTTCTTTGGAGAAATGTCTATTTAGGTCTTCTGCCCATTTTTGGATTGGGTTGTTTGTTTTTTTGTTATTGAGCTGCATGAGCTGCTTGTAAATTTTGGAAATTAATCCTTTGTCAGTTGCTTCATTTGCAAATATTTTTTCCCATTCTGAGGGTTGTCTTTTGGTCTTGTTTATGGTTTCCTTTGCTGTGCAAAAGCTTTGAAGTTTCATTAGGTCCCATTTGTTTATTTTTGTTTTTATATCCATTTCTCTAGGAGGTGGGTCAAAAAGGATCTTGCTGTGATTTATGTCATAGAGTGTTCTGCCTATGTTTTCCTCCAAGAGTTTTACAGTGTCTGGCCTTACATTTAGGTCTTTAATCCATTTTGAGCTTATTAGGGAAATGCAAATCAAAACTACAATGAGATATCATCTCACACCAGTCAGAATGGCCATCATCAAAAAATCTAGAAACAATAAATGCTGGAGAGGGTGTGGAGAAAAGGGAACACTCCTGCACTGCTGGTGAGAATGTGAATTGGTACAGCCACTATGGAGAACAGTATGGAGGTTCCTTAAAAAACTACAAATAGAACTACCATATGACCCAGCAATCCCACTACTGGGCATATACCCTGAGAAAACCATAATTCAAAAAGAGTCATGCACCAAAATGTTCATTGCAGCTCTATTTACAATAGTCCGGAGATGGAAACAACCTAAGTGCCCATCATCGGATGAATGGATAAAGAAGATGTGGCACATATATACAATGGAATATTACTCAGCCATAAAAAGAAACGAAATTGAGCTATTTGTAATGAGGTGGATAGACCTAGAGTCTGTCATACAGAGTGAAGTAAGTCAGAAAGAGAAAGACAAATACCGTATGCTAACACATATATATGGAATTTAAGAAAAAAAATGTCATGAAGAACCTAGGGGTAAGACAGGAATAAAGACACAGACCTACTGGAGAATGGACTTGAGGATACGGGGAGGGGGAAGGGTGAGCTGTGACAAAGCGAGAGAGAGGCATGGACATATATACACTACCAAACGTAAGGTAGATAGCTAGTGGGAAGCAGCCGCATAGCACAGGGAGATCAGCTCGGTGCTTTGTGACCGCCTGGAGGGGTGGGATAGGGAGGGTGGGAGGGAGGGAGATGCAAGAGGGAGGAGATATGGGAACATATGTATATGTATAACTGATTCACTTTGTTATAAAGCAGAAACTAACACACCATTGTAAAGCAATTATACCCCAATAAAGGTGTTAAAAAAAAAAAAAACTGGTTTCTTCATCCTCAACTCTGAGTCACTTTCCTACCCACTCCCCTTTCTCAAATACAATTCTACCTCTACTCAAGGTGATGGGTTTTCAGGGAAGAAGCAGATGAAAGGGGAGCAACAAGAAGCATCTCAAATCCCATACCCCCCGTCGAAGTTATGTCCTATTACATTATAGTCTCCAGAAGTTCCTGGGCCAGAACTGGACTCAAAAATACAAAACTGTCCCAGTAACTGTTTGGTGGGTGGCTTTGTAGGTAAAGCTGCCACAGGCAGCATTGAGCAAAGGCAGCGAAAAAGGGCCACTGAGCAGATTCCTCTCGTAAAGCCAACCAAGGAGTGTGATGAGGCCATCGTCATTCATAGAAGGATTCTGTAAGCCAAGGCCAGCTTAACTCAGTTACTATACATACTCAAAAAGAAGAAAGTTTCATTTCTATTATTTCTAGAGCTGAAAATTTCATGGTTATTTCATTCCTATAGACATCATCTTTTAAAAGGATGCATTTTCCAGTGGTCTTGACCACAGCTATTTCTGAGCTCTAGACCTTTGTGGGTAACCACGTAACTCACTACACTCACTAACCACGTTCTGCCTTCTTCAGGGACTGATGCACAGAAAAATAGAAGGCAATTCCCTAGTGATTCCTGTCACTGTTTCTGAAAAAAGTCAAGTGACTGTTCCTAGACAGAAGATATACACAGCGTGGCTCAAGAACAAATGCCACTTGGAAAACTCAGAGAAACCAACAGTATTATAGCAGAAGGGCAAGACAGGCAGACTTTTCAGCTACAGATTCCACCAGACTGGAGTCTGGTGTTTTTGTTTTTTAAAACCTTTTCTCCATGACCTCACCTTACTTTTTTTTACTACCAGTACTTCTCCAAGGTCTCTCAATATTTATTAATGTTAATAACCTCAAGTGCCTGTGATAGTAAGTGTACATTTTCTAATTGCTGGGTTTTGGCAACGTGACGTACTGAAATTCAGAATTCGAAAACTACAAAAGGTATACAGTGCTAAGTTTCCCTTTCATACCTGTGTCTAGGTACCAAATTTTTCACCTTGGAAGCAACTAAAATGGTATCAGGTTTTTAAAAAATACTTCTAGACCTATTTAATGATGTCCAATTAATTATTAAATATATTTTCATCTAACCTATTTTACACAAATGCTAGTATTCTGCACATACTGTTTAGTGCTTCTTTTTTCCCACTTAACAACATATTTTGAAGAACATTCCATTTCCTTACAGAAATGTTCTCATTCTTTAATATAGCTGCATACTATTCTACAGTACTCCAAGTTTTATAACCATAACTTATTTAACCTAACCTATCCCATACAAATGACATATAGGTTGTTTCTAACATTATTATTATAAACATTGCTGCAATGATTAAATAACCTTTTATTTTTATCATTTTACGCATATGTGAGTTTATCTATAGGATATACTCCCAGAAGGGGGATTGCTGAGTGAAAGATACATATTTGTCCTTTTGATAAACAATGCTAACTGATCCTTTGCAGAAGCTGTGACACTTTACAGCTCTGCCAGCAATGCGTAAGTGCCTGCTTTCCCACGCTTACAACAGTGTTGTCAGGGTTTGTTCTTTGCCAACCTGTTATGTGAGACTGTCTATGCATATATGTGTGTGTGTATGATTTGTATTCTATACATTTTAGTATCTTTTTAAGAACCAGTTATATTTCCTTTCCAGTAAACTGATCATATCCTTTGCTTTCTCTTCTATTGAACTATTGGTCCCTTTTTATTATTGATTTGTAAGAACTCCATATATTAATGAAATTAGCCCTCTGACTGGAAGAGCTGCAACAGCTGTCCTAATCTGTTGATTGCCTTTGCTTAACACGGTGTTCATCATGCATAATTTTCATATTTTTAGGCAGTATCATTTAACAACTTTTTAATGGCTTCGGAGTTTCGTGTCATAGTTGGAAAAAAGAACAAAAATATGTTCAAGAGTTAAGCTGTTCTCCAAGGTATCTTTCCCCTCTTCATCTCAGTGATCCTTAAGCTCTTCCAAACTGATGGAAAAGTTAATCATGTAAATATGCTGACTCTTGGTCTAGACTTCCAATTCTACTAAAACTCTTCAGGGTAGTAGTAAGAGACAGAGAAATCTTTTATTTTTTATTTAATCATTTAGCATTCAAAGAACAGTCTACATATTTTCACTTGATTTTTAACTAAAAACAAAAAAACCAAAAAACTTAAGGAATCACTTTTAAATCTTACCAACGGTAATTATCCACAGCAGGGCTACCATCCACTTCTTGTTAACCAGTTTCCAGACAGGAGTAATCGTGAGGAATAATGGAGAAAGAAATGCTATGGCAAAAGCTTCAAGCCCAGTGAGTTCTAGTGTTTGCAGGGGAAAGTAATAGATCATCGGTCCCAGGCCATCGCAGAGAGACCAAGAAACATATCCTAGGGAAAACAAAAGTTTTTAAGAGAGAGAGAAAGTATAACTTTCTCATTGTTTCAAACAGTAGCCCTTCCCTCCACTAAAACTCCTCCGGCCGGCCGCCCTCCTTCATGACCCTGGCCTTAACTGGGTTCCAGTAACAGAATTCCTCCCCTTTCCTGTCAGGCCCATAATGAGAATGGCTCAACATCCCTTGCTTGTCCCTTTAACCTCGTTCATACCTCCCGTAGGTAGGTAGTCCCTTTATTAAAGGCTCTTCATTTGGACCATCTAGGTTAAATCTGGTTTCCTGTCAGGACCCTGATTGATAAAATTTCCTTAACTAAATCGACCCTTCTTTAATGAGAAATATCGTGAAAATCAAAAAGAGTAACAAACGGCAGAACTCCTTCCTCCCACTCCAGACTACAGCCAAAGGCACGTTAGTTAGGAAATAATCATTTTCTTGTGAGCAAACTATTTTAAACCTAACCCTTAGGAGACAGTGTAGAGTAGTGGAAAACGCAGATTTGACATTACTTTCACAGCTGCCAACTACTGACTGCAATCTTCTACAATGATGATAATTAACCAATGGGCAGTTACCAAGTGCTAGGCTCTGTGCTAAGTATTCACCCCGATCTTCTCTCTTCTTCTGCATCCTATGAAATTGACACTATTTCTACTCTCCTCTTACAAATGCAAAATCAAACAACAAAAACTCCTTAGACTCAGAAAGTTAAGTAATTGCCGAAGGTCACAAAAGTGGCAAATGGCAGAGTGAACTTAAAACCGAGTGGTCTGGTTCCAAACCATCCTTAACCACCGAAAGCAGTACTTTTAACCACCTCGCAGTTATTAAGATTAAAAAAGATTAAGTACACACAGTACCTAGCACCCTAGGTACTCACTGAATGTAATTCGCTTTACATCGCGTACTTGTGAGATACAGACTGGGCCAAAAAATGAGCCCCGCCCCCCCAGCCCGAGCATTACCAGCTCCCAGAAAATCAAGTTCTTAGGAAGGCACCCCTCCCCTTCATCGTGAACAGCGAGATGCTAGCAATCTCCTGAACGTTTGTCTGGGAATTCTGATTTCAACCATACAACTCCGACAATATTACAACAATAATTGTTCTTGGGACTTTTTGCAAAGCTGCTAAGTGAGCACATGGGACTCGAGTTCGACGTTTTCCGCCAAATACTCAAATGTGCAGCCACTACCCAAGGCCACTTATGAGGGGTCAACCCAGGCGGTAGCCACCGCGCTGAGTGCTCACCTACAGCTACAGGGGGAAACGGGTGCCCCTTTCCGTCTGAAAGGTAAAGTTCGGTGCTGAAGTTTATTCAGTTAAACTTAAAGATCACGGGTGAGGGGACTCGGGGTTGGTACCAGCTTCGTGGTTCAAGGCCGACAGGTGAAGAAGTCGGGCCCCTTGGGCGCAACACCAGGGTGGCGTGGGAGCTCTCTCTCTCTCTCAATTCCTCCAGCAGCAGAAGTTGCCAGGGGACGATAAGCATCTCTATTCCGGGCACCAAGCGCGCGTTCCTCCCTCCGGGAGCTCAGCCAACCCGGCGGAGCACCGCGGCTCCGGGCAGGGCCGGGGGAGCGGACCGGCGAACGCGCGGCGGGCGGCCTCGGCTTACCCAGAAGGCTCTCCAGGAGCACTTCTCTCCACAGCGAGGGCATGGCCGAGGCCCGGAGCGGCGCCGCCGAGGGAAGCCGCGCGGCCCGCACACCCGCCGCACTGCGCCGGCCGCCGAGTTCTCCAGGGTCGGCGTCCACGCCTCAGGCTCCCGTCAAGTCTGCCGCCGGCCGCCCAGTCGCCCGCCGACCAGCAAGCCGCGCCCACGCGAAGGTGGGGCCCGCTGCCCCCGCCCCGTCCCATCCAGCACCGCCCTCCCGGCGCCACCGCCTCTGCGCGGCCCGCGGTCCCGCGCCACCGCCTCCGCCGACGCCACCGCGCAGCGAGCGGTACCCGGGGGCCTCCGACCTGCCGCCCAGAAGAAACCAGGTGGCCGGGCTCGCCGGCAGAGCGGCCCCGGCGATGGCGCGCTGCGAGCGCCCAAGAGGACTGCATCATTGCAACTCTGCACCCGTGGTGCCCTTTAAACGAGGCCCAGGGGCGCGTTGTGAGGGAAAGGCTTAGACGCAGGTGGGGAGCCTGAGCTGCCAGGGGCTCTAGCGCCTCCGGCGAGCAGGTGCGAACAGGACCTTGGCGTTCCTAAGGCCTGGGCGACGCTCTCGGGCGAGCGGGCACCTGCGATGGCCAGGTGTGCGCTTCTCCTTCTCAGCTTTGGTAGTAAACAAATCGCATTCTGGGAAGGCGGTTGAAAAATTCTAGAGATTACAGAATTTTCTATGGCTTTTAGAGACGTCGCAACACTTGCTCAGGGGAGAGAAAACCAGTGATGGCAGTGGAAGTTCTGCCTTCCTCCACTTTATGGATAATGATCTTTGAGAGTGCCCGTCCCTGAGGAGAAAGGGAGAGACGTTCTAACAATGGAGCGAGTGAACTAGGCCAGTTATTTCTCATTCAAATATTACCACACCCCAGGATGTTTTGAGTTTTTTAGAACCTTCTCAAACAATTTATTTTAATTCGCTTTAATTTTTTTGGAACAGTTTGTCATTTACCACTTTCGGAAGGTTTGCTCTGAAATTAAACAATGATGGATTGTCTAAAAGTGTAAAACAGTTAAGAGCAGTTTTGAGCAGAGTTCCAAATCGCTTAATTACTTACTAGTACTCATTGTCACCAGATAGAGATCAATTGAATAGAATTGAGAGTCCTGGAATAAACCCTCTCATTTAGGCGCAAATGATTTTCAACAGCTTGCCAAAACAATTACATGAGGGAAGGGGTGGTCTTCTCAACAAATGGATTTAGAACAATTGAAATTCCACAGGAAAAAGGGTAAATCGGACACCCCCCCAATCTCATACCATATACAAAAATTAACTCAAAATGGATCAAAGACTTAAATGTAAGAGATGAAACTATAAAAATCTTAAAACATAGGAGTAACTCTTCATGATCTTTAGTTAGACTATGGATTCTTAGATACAACAGCAAAAGCACAAATGACAAAAGAAGTAATAAATAAATTGGACTTCATCAAAACTAAAAGTTTTTGTGCTTCAAAGGACACAGTCCAAGAAAGTGAAAAGACAATGCACAGGATGGGAGAAAATATTTTATAATGATACATCTGGTAAGGAACTGGTATCTGGAATACATATTTTTAAAAATTACAACTCAGGGACTTCCCTGGTGGCACAGTGGTTAAGAATCTGCCTGCCAATGCAGGGGACACGTGTTCGAGCCCTGGTCCAAGAAGATCCCACATGCCGTGGAGCAACAAAACCTGTGCACCACAACTACTGAGCCTGTGCTCTAGAGCCTGTGAGCCACAACTACTAAAGCCCACACGCCTAGAGCCTGTGCTCCTCAACAAGAGAGGCCACCGCAATGAGAAGCCCGCACACCTCAACAAAGAGTAGCCCCCACTCACCACAACTAGAGAAAGCCCGTGCACGGCAACAAAGACCCAATGCAGCCAAAAATTAATAAATAAAAATTATTTAAAAAAAAAATAAAATAAAATTATAACTCAGTAATACTCACTTTAAAGATGAACAAAGGATTTGATAGGCCTTTTTCCAAAGAACATCTACAAGTAGCCAATAAGCAAAGTATATTCAGGAAAATATATTCAATATCATTTCATTAGGGAAATACAAATCAAAACCACAATGAGATACTACTTCACACTCACTAAGATGGCTATAATCAAAAAAGTCAGATAGGGCTTCCCTGGTGGCGCAGTGTTTGAGAGTCCGCCTGCCGATGCAGGGGACACGGGTTCGTGCCCAGTTCCGGGAAGATCCCACATGCCGCGGAGCGGCTGGGTCCGTGAGCCATGGCCACTAAGCCTGCGCGTCTGGAGCCTGTGCTCCACAATGGGAGAGGCAAAAACAGTGAAGGCCTGCGTACCGCAAAAAAAAAAAAAACATTACAAGTTGTAGATTTGCCATCTGTACCTATAAAATAGTTAACAAGGAATTTTCCTTGTATCTGTCTGAAGTCAATTTAACTCAGGGTCCTGTAAGAGTGGTGACCAAGACTATTCGTGTCATCCCCACAGAAGACAACCAAGCTGTGTTCCTGCAGCAGCAGAGCAGGGAGTGCCTGTTCTCAGAGACAAAAACAATCGCTGTGGCCTGGTCCACTAGGGTTTCCCAAAGAGTTGAAAGGGAATCAATCCAGAGTAAAGAAGATATGCTTGAGTGAACATTTTCAATACAGTAAAAATAGAATAAGAAAGTCTTGAGAAACATTGAGTTCGTGTTCTAACGTAAGCATTAGGTTCTTTTTCATTTAGACTTGTACTCTTAGCACAAGTTAAAAACACAAGGGCCTACTTAGAAGACAGGCCTGGAAAATCAAGGATCATTCAGCAGTTTTTTGGATGTATATATTTTTATTTATTCATTCTCACACTTTCTAGGAGCCCTCCGTGTGGGAAGCTGAGTGCGCAGAGATGATCAAGACATAGTCCCAGCAAGGAGGAGCTCTTGGCCCACGGGTGGAGTCTGAAGTGCTCAAGTAATCTCAACCCAGCATGAAAAGTGCTACGTGAAGGCCTGAACTGGGGGCACTTGGGGCCCCTGCAGGAGGGAGTTGGCCTGGGTGCCCTGAGAGACAGGGGTGTTATGGTCTATTTACTCACGGCTACTGTGGTGCTTGTTTATCTGCCTACGCCTCCACTTTCCCACCTGTAAAGTGAAGCTAATTATAGTAAGGAATGATTGCATCTGTGCACTAGCTGGCCGGACTTGAAAGAAACACAGATCATACTCCTGCTGGTGAGTTAACTCCCTTGGAAGACTGTGATCCAATATGTAAATTTCTGGAAGGAGTTGCCTAAATACAAAATTTCCATTAGTGTTATCAGATTTTTTTATTCGTTTATTCATCCCGTAAACATTGATTTAACTTCTAGCCGCCATGCTTTTTTAACTGGAATACACAGCAGGGGTGAGCGGCGGTGGATCAGAGGATATATAGGCTCAGAAATTCAACATGGCAGATCTTTTCAAAGCATTAAGTTTACCTAGTATAAGCAGTTCATAACATTTTCATGTTAAAACAAACAGGGGTATGTTACAGACAGGATTGTAAAATGCATACAAAGTTTTAGGATAAAGCTTTGGGGGCTCATGGTAGACTTCTTTGATTTATGTCTTCCAGAATTCAGGGGGAATGTGTTCCTTCTCTTCTGCCATTAACTGAACATCGGTTGTTAAATAAGTATCTTAGAAGATACAAAACATACATCCCTCCAAAAGTATATAATCTGAACTGAAACAAGACACATGAACAAATGAATCGAGTAGATATCCATACGTGTGTCTTTTTTGAGAAGTATGAGAAATTGCTTCTGTGTCTGTGAAGTCATTATATGTTAGATTCCAGCCATGACAGAACTGTGAGAAACCAATTCAGGGTCCCCACTAGAGAAAACTGGAGAAAAAAATAAAATTCTGCAGGTAGCTCACTAAGGAAACAGATTCAGAAACAGCAAAGGATGGGTCTTTCTTACACAGAGCAAAAGCTCACATCTGCTAAGGTGACCAAGGCAGGTGGGCTTGGGAGGATGCAGAAGATTACAAAGGGCAGGAATTGGGGGAAGGCCATTCCAGGTAAATGCAGTGACATCTAGAAAAGGAACAAAGTCAGGAAAAGTGAAGTTGTATTTGGGGTTCAGGGAGTAATCATTTGGTCTAAAACAGAAGTTTCCCCAAACATACCAGTGCGGTCTAATGAAGGGACCTTGAAACCAAGGACAAAGAATGTGAAATGTACCTGCCACTTAGGACACGCTCAAGTGAACCTTACTGACTTAACACAAACAGGACGAGGCGTGTGTGATGATGTACTCTACAGCGTCCTGGCAAGTTAAAACGAGTTCAGCACCGGAGTCTGCTTGAAATGTTTCCAGTCTGCTTCCTCCTCCTCTTTCCTCACCTCCCTGTCTATTCTCTCCCATTCCAATAGGCAAACAGAAAACATTCTGCAGTACTACCCACTCCATTATATGCAATTAAGTCAGGAGTATTCCTGTGGGATGACTCTCCAAAGGTGGAATAATTTATGCGGGTAGATAAATTGGGAAAGTGTTGGGATCGCCCAGTTTTGGGTGTGTATTAATTTTTGTATTAATTTGGGTGTGTAATACAATACACAAGTTTGTATTAATTTTTACATCTTCATAGTTGCTAGATGTCCTGGGAAGGAACCGTGTCTTGATTAGCTTAGTTCCCGTGTCTTGGCACATAGTGTAAGATCTGAGGGAGTCAGCCACAGGCAGGCCTAGAAAACCACAGGCCTCACCCCACCAGGCTGAGTTTTTACTGGGTGGTCAATTGCAGGACATGACACGTGCTTTCTGCAGAGATCCCAGAGAGAAAAGGAGGAGGACCTGAGGGTTGTATGCCAACAACTCCTTCCCAAACCACCAGCATCTCCTGGGGGGTAATTGGAGTAAGGTGGCATGAGAGGACAGGTGTGTTATCCTAAAACGTGTCCCTAGAGGCCAAGACGTCTGTGCCATATGTGGCATTACTAACCATGTGTGCACTGGGTGGTCTATGTGATGGGGACCTTGCTAAGGCCAACTTGAAACAAGAGGCCCACTGAGCAAAGATGTTCGTTCCAGCTGGTCCTGTGTCCAGTGGTGGAAACTGCAGCATAACGTCTGTCCTGGAAAAGATCAGTTGATCAGTCCCTCTTACTTATGAGATAGATGCATTGTCCAGGAGA